CATCCAGTTGCTTTTTCATTTTATACACTCGAAGAGTCTCTGCACTTTACCATACAGTTTGACATGATGAATTGTTCATACTTTTTTGTACATTCTGCCAGTTTCTGCCCCTTACAATACAATATGGAAAATGTGTGAATTGTTTTCACATTTCAAAACATTTTAAAATTTTTCTTCCATTACAATACGATATAACACGTGAATTGTTCTCACCTTTTTGTACAATGTGACAGTTTCTTCCCCTTACAATATGGTATAATATGTGTGAATGAGTATCCAGCATCTAGTACTATTGAACACAGTGGTTTCTGATCTTTCTCTTTACAGTGCTTGTACTGGGATAAAAATGAAGCTGGAAAATAAAAGTTCCCATAAACAAAAGTTTTCGTCATATGATATCTGCATTTTTTTTAACCAATCAGAATCAGGGCATGGAAGACTTAATACACCAAGTTTTGATTTACCTATTGACTGCAAAGAGTTAAATGAAATAACAGTCATAATAAGAATTTTATGTTCAAAGGTATCCAAGTACTTACAGACAAAATAAATATAAAAGAAAATTCTATATATTATCAAATCTTCATAAATGACATTTAAAATGTACTGCTATTGAATTATATTGTCTTCCCATACACTAATTCCCTGATATTTTCCCATATGCAGTGACCTTAACTACGAGACCTCTCGTTAGAACTTTTCACTACACAGCGCAAGTGTGAGGGGAAAACAGTGATGAAAGAATATAAACAAACATGAACTGGAAGGGAAATAGTAATAACTGATTCTTAATGAACAAATTTAATACAACAAATCATTTAACAACTGTTGAGGAAAAGTTAGATTAACAAACCGGAACACACTGAACATATAAAAAAATATTATGGCTCTATCAATTCACTTCTTTGTCACATGCTCCATATGCCCTGTGTTGATTGTTTATCAATGTAACAATCCCGTAAATGTGGGCAACAAACTTGGAAGTTAATTGGCTTGCATCAATAATCACTGGAGGATGTATTATTTGTCGATAATATATTATAGATTTGTAATAAATATAAAAAATGTGCATACAGGACTTAGTTTAGTATACATGCATTGGTTCAATAGTTTCGATAATATTAAAATTACAAGAAACTCGTTTCATATGACTTTAAGATACACATTTCATCATAATTTATTTAGATTTTTGTGGAAGCATAGAAGCATAGAAGTATGGGATTACATGTAAGTTACTATTACATAAAAAAAAACTAAACAGTTTACTTACGATTGCATCTAAATACGGAGTTAAACTGGTATTCTTCAAAGAAGATTTCATCCATAGCCTCTTGTACAGAGTTGAAATTAAAATATGGTTCAGTTACAATGATATTACTGTCATGTAAATCTACCTGTCAATTATAATACAAAAAACATAAAAATCAAGCACTGAAAAATGTAGAATAGCTCATTAGTGTAAGTAGTAAAGTGCATCCTAACTTGTATCAAACATTGAAATTATTTTGCAGATTTATGCAGAAAACATATTTTATGCAATCTACAATTTTCACACAATCTAGTTAATAGATGACATCTACTTATATCAAACAGTTTTTTTCTTATGAACTGTTTATTCTTAAGTTCAAGTTTGCTGTTCCTTACTTGCATATAGAGGATGTAATTACAAAAAGCAAGTTTATCATTATCATTGAATATAAATAAAGAGAGATGATATCAAGCAATATTCAATTATCAGTAGTTCTCTTATGCCGTTATGGTAAAATTCTCTTTGAACTGCCTATGAGGTTATTACACTTCATCAGTTGAGACACAGACTAATACTAGACTTTAGTAAGAAGAAGTTTGGTTTGCCAGTATAAATCTCTTTGTGCAGAACTAGTTATGCAAGTTAACTTTCTTTGTTTATTTTATAAGAAAACAAATTTATGCAAAAAGAAAAAAATAATGTATACAAACTGCAAAATATTTGAAAACTGATCTATTAGTTGAAGTGAACTGACAAGAATTTATAACATGACACACAAACCTTTAAACTATCTTTCCCAAACATGTAATCCCATATTTGTCTCTGAATTTCCCAGTTCACTAAATAACCCTAAAACAAAACATATAATAAAATCATCATAGATACCAGGATTGAAACTATGTATGCCAGATATAAAGTATAACCACTTTAAATAATATAAGACATGTATCTGAATATATTTTTATGGAAATACTGTTCTGTTGAATAATAAATAAAAAAAAAACAACATCTCAAAAACATGTCTTTTTCTGTTCTCATGGTCAGTTTTCTTTTTTTTATAATTGCCATAACAATTTACAATATAATTTGCCTCCATAATAAAACATCTAGTTATGCACAAGATAAGTAAAACATGATAAAACAGCCAAGATAAGTAAAACATGATCAAAACAAACAAGATAAGTAAAACATGATCAAAACAAACAAGATAAGTAAAACATGATAAAAACTAACAAGATAAGTAAAACATGATCAAAACAATCAAGATAAGTAAAACATGATCAAAACAAACAAGATAAGTAAAACATGATCAAAACAAACAAGATAAGTAAAACATGATCAAAACAAACAAGATAAGTAAAACATGATCAAAACAATCAAGATAAGTAAAACATGATAAAAACAAACAAGATAAGTAAAACATGATAAAAAATAATCTCATGTAACAAAAACAAATATTAACAAAAATAACAAACTTCAAGGTAAATTCTAAAAAGGAGGAAGTCCATAAAAACCTGACAAAATCAAAGGCTGACTATATCAGCCAACAGAATGAATGGAAAACAACTATCCTATTCCTGACTTGGTACATATATTTTCTGAAGACTTACCTTTTGAAATGGCAACAAATAAAACAATCCAGACAGATCTTTACAATCGTCTATCTGATCTCCTATAAATGTTCTTGTTCTCACACTTTTTGCCTTAGTAATACAATTTGGCATTAGTCTGAAAATAATAAGAAAATAATTAAATTTAATATTTACCAACCCTTGACAGTCTTCTCTACCTGATTTAATAAAGTGTACTTGTCCTTCAATTCCTGGCCTTGGTTACACAATTTGGTATAGGTTGGAAGGAAATAGAAAAAATGATCAAATGTCTCCTCTTGTTTCCAATGACATGTGCAGATCATTTTTATTATTATTATTATTGTATTAAATTATCTTTTATTTTTGAACACTGTATACAGTTTGAATAATTTACAGACCTAGAGTTATCTTTCTTCGAACAAAGAGATTTATTTTCCATGCACTTCATTGTCAAAATTTTCATGGGTACCATGTCTGAATATGAAGAGATTAAAAAAGGGCATATTCTTTGGTCTCTGGTGGATAGCTGGTTTATCCCACACCTCCTAATTTTGAATGGTATTTTTGCAGGGAGACAATTGTTTTTATAACATATTATAATAGCACAATACAAATTGATAATTTGCATTCACATTAAAAAATAAGAAAATGTGGCATGATTGCAAGTGAAACAACTATTCAAAGACCATAGAGCAAGGATGTTATTCAACTAAAGGCAGCTATTTTCTTCATTTTAAATAAAAATTTATTCCACTAATACATTTCTTTCCTTCTATCTTTTTTTTTCCCAACTGAAAAATATAATCAGCTAAATTTTCATGCATATTTAAAGTCCCAACTATCTTACTCTGGCCCTTGGTGTTATAGAATTTTCATTTGACAATTTTAATTTCTTACAGTCTAGAGATCTCTTTCCATTTTTCCAACATGTCATTAAAACACTTGATGGTGTATAGATACTGATAGAACTTAGACATGATTAACATCAATGTCTTATACTTGGTTATTTATTAAGTGAAGGCTTAAGGATTAATTAATTGTTGAATGGTTGGGGTCCAGTGGGATGGCTGATGGAAATCTGACAAAAAAGAAAGAACAAAAAAAACAATTTCTTAAAATTTATGTCGACATAGGTTGCTAAATGTTAATTTCCTTTAAAACTGCTGCTGCATCATTTTGTCTTTGACATCATTTTTAGAGAAAATACTATTATTTTCAAGACCAGGCCTTGAGAGCTGTACAAATATTGTACTCCAAGTACTGAGTAAAGTTTTATGACTGAGAGCCCACAGTCATAAAACTTTACTCAGTACCAGGAGTACAAAATTTGTGCTTAAAGCACCAAATCCAGCATTTTGATTTTTTGAATTCTGAGTTAAAGTATGATAATTGTACTCCAAATTTTTATGACTGCAAAAACTTTTCAAGTAAGATTTCTGTACTAGACTCCGGAATCAACTATCAAGTACTGAGAAAAGATTTATGACCATGAGGCCAGGAATCTGTTGCCAGGTCTAGGAAATTTTGAATTTCCCAAGTATCAATACATTTCAAACCCTGCTTCTCTGGTAAACTTTTCATCAAGGTACATTACAAAATATCCAATGATTATGTGTACAAAGAAATCTTCTTAAAAACAATTACCAATCCCATAATTCTGACCTTACAGTTGAATTTATATTTAAAGCTAATTAATTCAACATGAAACATGAAGCTATTCACCCTTAGTAGTTCAATATTGAGACTTATTAAGTTCTGAAGTTCTGTCAAAGGTGTAAACAGTTCAAAAAGTCGCATCAGTAGACAATATCACGAAATCACTGATGACTTCAATTTCCAATTGCAAAAGATTTTATCTACGATTAGATAAAAAAAAAAAAACAATGTGTTTAAAAACCTTGATTACCTTAAAAATATTCTATTAAACTTTTTTCAATTTCTTATTTACGTTTTTATTTATGAAATATATTTAAATCATTTGAAATTCTTAGTTACAATTGTTATATATATCAAGGAACATAATCCTGGTTAATGTACAAAAATGTACATTGACATGATTAAAACTTTGATAATTATCTAAGTGTGGATCTGTTTTAACCTAATAAACAATGCCTAATTGAGTAAACTTGGCTTAATGTTTAGTTTTTAAATCTATTTTCATCAATCTTATATTATGGTGTCGTGACAATGGACATTACATAACTGGATATGCAGCAAAACTTCTATCTCCTTAGAAGTTAAATGCTTTCAATTTCAATGCAAGTATATTTGATTTCTTACTTTTACTAAGTTAATACACACACTCCTAGCAAACATTTAAGGTATGACCTAGAGCCTCCTAACAAGTCCTCAGAGCCTAAATTGCTCAACTTTAAAAAATTAGATATTTTGAAATTTATTTCCTTTCAATTTTTTCCTATTTAAAATATTTTTCAAAAACTATAAAACACTTTTAAATACATAACTTTTAAGAGAGTTTTTTTCTGAAAGTGTCACTCACAATCACATTATTCATTAATGAAAAAAATTGATTAAAAAATTTAATTTTCAAGACCCTAACCCCAAATCAACCACCCTTTACTTAGCATTCATCACACTCTTTAAATATAAGATCTCAGTTTGCTCCTTTATTAATTTTGCTCGTTACATTTTTCTCTTTTAACAGTTTAGTTTTTAAAGATAATATCCAAATAACACTAGGTGGTTTTGGGTGTCTTCTGCAATCTTGGATTGTAAAAGTGCAGAACATATTAGGTCAGCAAATTTGGATGCAGGAATGCATCTAACTAATAAGAATTTTCATTAATGAACAAATTATTGTGATCTCAGGTTATAATCACTCATATTTTTACAAAAGAAGAAAAATTTTGCTTGAATTCCAATTTTATTAAACTGTGCATATTAAGGGGAGGTAACTCATAATATAATTTATATAAGGAATCTTTAGAAATCTTTTCTATTTTATGTTATAGCAGGAAAAAAAGAATAGTAACCCCATTTTTCTTTTGATATTCTGAAAGCATTTTTATAAGAGCTATCTTCTCATACTTTATTTCAAAATTCTATCATTTAGTTTAACTTCTTTTCACAGTATAATGCTTGTTCTCTGTATAATCCATACAAAATGTGTCAATTTTTCACAACCTGTAGCTTGAAAACATGATCAGTGACCTATCATTTTTATTATATTTTTTAACATATAACAATTTATACTGCATTTTGGCAAAGTATGAAATTGTTGTTTATACTACCATACCACCTTAAAGGGCAATAACTCAAATAAAAAGTCAGAAGAAAAAAATGGATTACCAGCAAGATCTTTTCTATGTAGTAGGAATAAATTACTGATGACTAAAGTCTAAAGATGACCTAGTGTCCGTCTGTATCTTCTTTACCATTGAGAACATACATTCACAATCTTTGTCAGAAAATAAAAGTGTTCTGAGCCAGGAAGAATTCCTAATGAAGAACAGTACTGCTTTAAAATCTCATTTAGACAACCACAGTCTTTTTTGAAGTCTCTATTGCAAACTTTGCAGAAGGCATGTCATATCCCAATCTGGGTCAATTTGCCCAAAATCATGTTCGCTCCCTTTCACGTTCACCCCTTTTCACATTGGCACCCTACACATTAGCACCCTTTTTAAAGGTTTTGAATTTAATGTTTTTTTATTCATGTTTTAGTTAGCGTGATGCTATCAAATAGAGATAATAAAGTTTTTTTTTATTGTTTTAAAATAAAGTGTCATTCAAAAAACGAAAATAAAATATCACTAGTCTATACTGAATGTAAACGCTGTGTTCCTTCATTAAACTATCGGAAGTGGCTGGTAATCTGGTAAAGTTGGTAGTATGTTTGATTTACATATTTTCTGGAACTTCAAAGTAGATAGTTTAATGAAGGAACACAGCGTTTACATTCAGTATAGACTAGTGATATTTTATTTAATTTTCCCTATACCTTCGGCGGTCAAACACGTTACAGCATTCCCAAATTGATTGGGAGTAGTACCTCTGGCCTAGGGAAGCCAGTCGAAATGGTACAGAATTGCTAGTAAAATGTCGTCTATATTTGGAAATAAAGACGTTAATTGAACACAAAGTTTACACAGAACACAACTGACAATAATTTATTGTAATATTCGTTCCACTGTGCAAGAGTGTTTAACACATGATGGCAGAATAATTTTAACAAACATTTTAACAACAAAACCATTGTATTTTTATTTTATTTTAATAGTTTACTTCCATATATACTTACTTTCAATTGCTATTTATAACGTTACTCACCATAGCAGCATTGTGACGTTTTAATTTTCTCAACCCGATTTTGTACATCAGCATGATTTTATGTATTGTTTTCTATCCTGATGACTGTGGCCTAGCCACCGAAACATGTCGATATCAATAAAATATTGGAGCATTCCTTTAAGTGTTTTTGTTATAGGACCTTCTACATTTTATGTTTTTATCATAACGACACTGCATACCCGAGGTATCCACTTTATTGAATCTACTGACAGAAGATTAACAAGGCGTTGTTTCACTTGTGTTTAATCTTTTAAAAAATTAAGAAACAGTTTATTGTAAAGATATTTTGTAAACAAGAAATTTTGACATCACCTATTGTTATTTATATACATATTGTTAATATTGTTTGTAATATGCCATATGTATATACTGTATTTGAATACACTGATGAGTCGTAAGGCTCAAAGTTAATAAAGAATTTGTATTTAATTTCATGTGCTCTATATTATATGTTCATCTGAAAAACACATCTAATAATTCAACCTGTATCTGAATTAAAATAGGGTGCGAACGTGTAGGTGTGAACGAGTTAAGGGAGCAAACAGACCAGATACTGTGATATCCCTATAGTGTTGATTTTGTCAACCAGTCAATTAATTTTAAAATCAACACATTTGTCTCCCTTATAATTGAAAAATTGTGTTTAATTGTTTGTATTTTATAATGCCATAACCATTTAATGTAAATGCGTTTGTCCTGGGACTATTATACAAATTAGTATAATAGTCCCAGGTTTGTCCAAATAAATGATAGTCTATTATATGTTCAGAAATGTGGCATAAAATCAACATTTCAGAATTTGTCACCACTACACGAGAATGGTATGACTGGGAAATAGTCTTTTTCCCAGCGTTTCCAATTTTGTAGAGCACATATCGTTATTACACTGTAAATAAGATTTTCCGAGCCCTTGTGGTGTAGGCAGTGCTCCCCCTTTTTTAATATTTGGCGATATTTAAGATATTCAAACAAAATCTTGCATTTGTCTTTACTGATGTTAAACATTTAAAGTAGTGAGGGTCACATGGAAAATTGTTTATTATTACCTAGGGTTTTTGTCTGTATAATATCCAACTTTTGCTAAACCGGCGCCGTTATCCAAAACTACGGTCGCCATTTTTATAGCCATGTGCAACCTATTTTTAGCTGTTTGTTTATTGTTGTTTTATTTGTGAAATCTTCAAATTTCTGTATCCTAGGTACACGTAAGTTTTACTCATTTTGTCCAATTGGAAGGAAAGACCTTGTTTACATAATATATAAATGTAGATTTGACGCCTTAAAAATACGGAAAAACACGTGTATTTCGTGGTTAAAGATATACCAATGTATTCACTTTCACTTTCACTTTGAAGTTATAGTTGATTTCAGCAATCAATCATTTATCGTTTAACAACATTTTAGCTGTTGTCTATTTTACCTTTATTTATATGACTCTTCTGTATACGTGTTCACAAAGGTGTTTTTTATTCTTTTGTCGAGTGCCTTCTTTGACGTCCGCGTTTCAAGTATCAGTATACTGGCTATATAATATGTCCCAGCTTCAATGGACCCTTTTCATAGTGGAATACGGTTAATTTTGATAACTTACTTTGCTTTTAATCATGTCAAATTTAAGCTTCTTAATGTTGATTCCCATGATGTCACAATGACATTTATGAATCATTTAAAATTTGTAAAAGCAGTCCACCTTGAAGTTTTACTAAATTGATCTTAATTGGGTCTCAATTTCAAATGTTGCCACTCTTAGATGGTTACAGGAAGATCACTTCACGGATACTCTCCAAAGATAAAGGTTCCACTGAATACATCCGAAAGTCTGAAATACTGAGATTTTATCTGGAATGATGTGAATACTAGGAATTCATGTCACATATGAGTCGGTTCAGCACCTCTTATTATATATATGGTTCGAAAATTTACGTCACTGTAACTGGAAAAATATCAAACGACATCTTCCAGTCAGCTAAAATATGATGCATCAATCCTGATTACGACTAAGGAGTATAACACAACACCACTGATAGTAGTAATAAAGCAAGACTGCTAAGCTTTTCGGACCACTCGAGTTGTTCACTCAGATTTTTCGAGTCATGATTTTTTTATACAGGATTTGGCTTGCTCAATCTTAAGCTTTCTTATAGTCTTAATTTGCTGATTTTTAGTGTCTTTTTACTCTTGACTTAGTCCAGCTAGCTAGTCCTAGTCCCAGTGATAGCGGAAAATAGGCAAACTAATAATATTCAGTTTCTTCGGGCAGGGCTTGACTACTATTGACCATGGTGTGTACTTTCCTTCCGATATCAATTGTTACTTATTTTAGTTTTGTTTCATTTTTCCTGGAAACTATGAATTATAGATAAAGATGAGGTAGTTAAGTATTTTTCTCCTTTAAAACAACAGAATGAGAGTTTTAATAGTCACTGTAGCTGGAATTGTTTGCACGTCCGGTGCATGGGTTCATTCCATGCAGTTTTTGGTAGGGTTCATTTTGCTCGGTTTTTAATTTTGTTGTGTATAATGTTTGTGCTTTCGTCTTTAGTAGGCCTTAAAGTTTTCTGTTGTTTTTTTTTTCTTTCTTTCTTCCAATTATGATATTGATTGCTTTCTTGGTATCATGTTAACATTTTTAGACCTGATATCATATTACTCAGCCTTTTCCTCTGACATCAATTAAATGAAAGATGGTTAATTAGTTATCAGTTAAAACGTCCAATGCATTTGACAGTTAATTCTTATTTTATTGTTAATCGTTTTAATTTTTGTATAAGGCTTCTTAAATTTCTCGTCTTGGCCGCTCATGATGAAATTTATTCTAGAAACATGTGTCGTGTACCGTGACTGAAATTGGTATCTGCATGATTGTGATTTATAATGTTTCTCATCTTATCTTTTCACGGAAACAATTTAGTCTAGTCCTTATGTTGCCGTGTTGTCTTCAAATTAAAATCTAGATCGAGGAACCGTTAGTCTAGATCGAGGAACCGTTAGTCTAGATCGAGGAACCGTTAGTCTAGATCGAGGAACCGTTAGTCTAGATCGAGGAACCGTTAGGAGCATATGTTACGATAGATCTTTTTCATTTAATAAAATTGCAATGATGCCTTCAACATGAACAAGAAGATCGCAACTCATTTAGAGTTCAAGATGGTTTCTACTGGTTTAAGCACTTTATGATAGAAGTTATATTGAGTGATTGCAAATACCGTGCATGCATTTACTGCATTTAACTATTGGTAGTCATCTTGTAGTATAGGAATGAAACCAAAGTTAATGACTTGACTGTCCTGTTTATTTTATTTCAGTATGATGTAAGTCCCTAATTTCTTCTAGAGAAGTAGTGTTTATTTATATCCTCCTCTATTTTAAGCTTCAAAATCAAATAGTGGTTATACTTTATTTGTATCGACATCAAATTACAAAGAGGTAGTCCGAGTTTCCCCTGAGATCACACACTAAGGTCATTTTCAAAACGTTGTTCACTCTTAACGGTATCGTTGTTTTCTATGTAGTCCTTCAGGTTGTAACATGCCCCTAAACTGCAATTTTGCCCAGATTTTGACAAATTTAGATGAATTTTTTCGACTGAATTACAAGTTTCAACTTTCGTCTCTTTTCTTTAATTTTATGGATGTATGAAAAAAATGTTGTAAAATCCTTTTAATATATTTTTCAGACATTTTAATTTTAAAATTCACTGAGTTTCACCAGCATTTTGAACCTTTGAGTGAAACAAATTCAAGAGAAAAGTTAATTCTATCCTTTGATGTTTATCCAAAACTTTACCCATGCTTGTCAGAACAATATAGTTCGCCGTCAAGCAGTGCTTAATAAAGATGTTCGCATGAATTCCTCAGCCATATGCTCTAGGATCGGAATTAATCTCAATCGCATGTCTAACTTAGAGAACCCAATGTGGAAATTTAACACAGACAAGTACAGGACGAGATTTATTAATATATGTATATAAACTGAGTACAGTAAGTGCATTCAGTTTAAAAACATATATTGTTTGTTTGTTTGCACCTGTCCTAAGTCAGGAATCTGATGTTCAGTAGTTGTCGTTTGTTGATGTGGTTCATAAGTGTTTCTCGCTTCTCGTTTTTTATATAGATTAGACCGTTAGTTTTCCCGTTTGAATGGTTTTACACTAGTAATTTTTTGGGGCCCTTTATAGCTTACTGTTCGGTGTGAGCCAAGGCTCCGTGTTGAAGACCGTACTGGGACCTATAATGGTTTACTTTTATGAATTCTGACTTGGATGGAGAGTTGTCTCATTGGCACTCATACCACATCTTCTTATATCTATTAACAAAATCTCGTCTTGTACCTGTGGAATTTAATAAAAAAAAAACACCAAAAAAAAATCAATCGATTTCAACCAGCGGTTTCTGAGAGCACGACCCTTAATTGGAAATTGAGAAAGTCAGAACCCATCATCGGTCGTGAACGGGTGGATACTTGATAAAGGGTCAGGCTGGGGTCCTCCATTTCTGTATTCTTTAATTTTTAGGCCATTTTTCTCTATTCTTTATACTTTTTCCCCATCATTCTCTATTCTTCATATTTTAGCACCTCATTATTCTATTCTTTATTTCCCCCCCCCCCCCCCCACATTTTTCTCTATTTTGTAAACCCCCATCCACTGCCTCTTGATATATGTAAGGATTTTTCAGTAAACCGAGTTTTAACGTTTGACAATATTTGCGATCATAACATACGTTCCGTGTTACCTGACGTCACGTTTCATAATCGAAATAGACTATAGCAATGAAAGTATTAGTAACTAGGTACGCTATACCAATCAATTTCATACCGGGCATTTAATTTACCTGTAAAATTTTCATTTAATGATCTTTAATTATAGGGAACGGTTTAAAAACCAACAGGATGCATTATAGGTGGTAAAAAAGCAATCAACTTGGATAAAATAATAAACATGCAAACAATGGAACGTGCACCCGTCTCTCTATCAATTTTGCGAAAGGATGGAGATGTGAAAAGGGGGGATAAAATGTCCACTTTCACCAACTATGTGCCAAACTGGAGGGGTCATGGAGGGAGACATCCGACCCATAGTAGTGTAGAGTTTGACAGACAACTGGACAAAATTTCTCTTTGGATTGAAGAATGGAACCACGAACAGGTAATCATCTAACAACAACACATAATTTCACTGTTTTTAATTCAACTGGCATTGAATGATCTACGCTAATACTGTAATATACAATACACTACAATACATAAGTCCTGGTTTCTATCCGAGACTACTATAACACATACATATATTATAGTAGTCTCCGGTTGTATGTTATATTCCATACTGTCATTCAACAATATTACTTATGTATTATAATACGGTATTAGAATCAGTTCAACAAAATACTTAACAGAGGCGGATTTAGAGGGGGCCCGACCCCCCTTTTGTGGGAAAAATTTGGTTGATTATATAGGGAATCACTGAAGCATGACTAGAGCGGGTCCCCTCTTACACAGTCAGTGGGCCACCACTTATGAAAATTTCTGGATCCACCACTGATACTATACAATAATTTGAGAAGATGTCAACATACTTCTGTAACATTTATCCTTAACACAATCAAAAATTTAAGAAAGAATGAATATATTTTGTCAATTGAATAAATAATTAAAGACTATTCTTTTTTCTTTTAAATATTAAAAAAAAAATATAATTGAACATTGGCAAATACAATGAAATAAAAGGGTACCATATTAAAGGGAAAATGTTACAACTTTTGGCTCATATATTTTATAAAAGAAGAAAAAAGCTAAAGCATTTTCTCATATGTTAAAAGTTATAAAGCAAATTATCAAAGCTATCCTTTGAACTTATATTTTATAAAGTTTTATATATAATAAATATGCAAACATTTAAAAAATAGTTACCCTTCATATTTATTTATTTATATAACATCAAATAATACAAATGTTAAATTCCCATATATGAATAAAGATTAAGCCACTGTAATACAAATGAAAGAATTTTAAAACTTCTAAGAGATCATTTTTCGATAAGTGTCGCTCTCTTTTGTCAAACAAAATAATAAAATAAAGAAATATCCCATTTCAAATGACAATACATGTTTAATTTGTTTACATTTTTCCTGGTAACTGACAGATATATTTAATGGTAGATTAGAAAAATATAATGCAATCACTTTTGTTTCCCCCAATTTTATATTCCTAGGTAATTAGTAAATGTTGATTAAAGAATTGAAAAGAAATGTATTAATTGTTCTATTAAATACTAAATAAGTCTATTATTAAGTTCAACTCTTTAAATGTTCAATGGATCTAAGTGCAAATTTAACAAATGAATTGTTCAAAGGATTTATTTATTTGCCAGTTGATTTAATTTTGAATCATTGAAATATGAAGTGTTTTATAATAGTAAAAGGCAGACTGATTTGAATATATACATATATATGATATGACATTATATTGTAGCAATAAGATAATTAGAAAATCTTGGAACCACAGAATAAGATGAAAATCAACTCTAAATGAAACTGTTGGCTTAGTATAAATTCATTGAAATTGAAAGAAATGACAGTACTAAGTGCAAACAAAGTATTTCCGAAAATTATTGATTTAAACAAGGATTTGTACACTATACAAATCCTTTATTGAAAGATTAAATGTACTTTATAATTTTTGACAAAACTTTAAAAATTAAATTTATATAAAGACAATTCACAAATCTTGTTTACCTATATATGAAATTAATACAGAATGTTAATCATAGATTGAATAACAAGCTACAGTTTTAATTGCCATTTAATGGGTATCCTGTTTAAATTTCTGAAGGATTAACGAGAAATCAAATATTTACTTACCATCGTAAATTAAGGATGTAGTTAGGTGAAATTGAAAAAATCTAGAATTTATAATTGATACTATAAAATCAGAAGAGCATTAGTAAAGGAACAAAATAAGCTAAAAATATTGATAGGTTATGGAACTCCTTTTTGTGATATTTGATTTTTAAAAAATGGCGGGAAAAGGTTGACTCAACCTTTTACCTTATACTTAGCATTGGCATTATTTGGGTCTCAAATCATAAGAAAAAAAATCTAGAATCTCCTTAAATTTTGGTAATGACCTTTTGATGAGCTATTGAAGTCTTCTATGAAAAGAAAAATGGGTGATATGGGGCAAAATACTTTACCCTGTATAGTAGGAAAAACCCAAGAAGTCCGAACATCTGACAAAATTTCATAAGCCTGACCTGAGTACATCCTTAAGGTATAAATAAAAAAAAAGTTATGCCTGCCTTCTGATTTCCACTCGAAAAAAAGCCTGTTTTAGTGTAAAAGGTTTTCCAAGAATCATTTCAGATTTAAATATTCATTGGCATAAAAATTAGATTGTTAGTAGACAGTAATTACAGATGCAATTCATAAATAAAACATAGAATTTACAAAAATGTTCAGAAACATATATCAAAGTTGTATGATCATTCATGAAATTTTCTCTTGTAGATTCAGTTTTTACTATGCCCATGCTATTATGTAACCAAGCTTATACATGTAGTTGTACCTTTGACTGCCACTGGTGATATGCCTTGGGTTGACAATAAGTGTTCTTTATTAACCAGGTTTTCAGAAGGAAAAATCCAATTATTGTCCCCCCCACGACACAGCGTCCATCTGTCCATCCATCTATCCGTTTATCCGTCTGTCTGTGCATCTGTCTGGTCTTGTAAGCACACTCTTGTGTACAATTCTTTCCAAATTTTTATAAAACTTATATTATAGATTTATTTCAGCAATTTCTCGGATGAGTTCGAAAATCAGTGCCAATGAATCTTTTTTAAAAGAGTTACACCCCTTGGAAACATTAATTATATGGGAAATTGCATCGTTTGCACTCTCATTTGTACAATTTTTGCCAGATTTTTATATAACTTATATTATAGGTTTATATCAACAATGTCTTGGACGTGTTCGAAAATCAGTGCTTATTAATCATTTTTAAAAGAGTTATGCACCTTAGAAACATTAATTATATGGAAAATTACATTGTGAGCACTCTCATGTGTACAATTCTTGCCAGATTGTTATGAAATTTATATCATAGGTTTATATCAGCAATGTCTTGGACAAATTCCAAAATCAGTGCAGACTAATTATTTTTAAAAGAGTTATGCCCTTAGAAACATTAATTGTATGGAAAATTGCATCGTTAGCGCTCTCAAGTGAACAATTCTTGCCAGATTTTTATGAAACTTATATCATAGGTATATATCAGCAATGTCTTTGACAATTTTGAAAATAGTGCTAATTAAATATTTTTAACGAGTTATGCCCCTTGGAAATATTAATTATATGAGAAATTGCATTGCATTTGCTCTCAAGCCTTCATTTCTTTAAGATATTTAAAAAAAGTTTTTAAGAACCCCCCAAAAAGTTTATTTTTTTAGTTATTGCCCTTGCACCTAAGACAGATAAAATATGCAATGCAAGGGGACATTGGAACTCTGTTCTTTTATTAAAATGGTGAAGTACAGCAGGTGGGCGGAGTGCAACAGTTGTTACTGATGACAAATGTGAAGATTTTCACTTTTATTGGTCTATAGTTATGGTCCTTGATATATCAGAAAATGGCACTTTATATCATTTCTGTGCAATAACTTGTGAACCTTTACATCAGAGGTTTTCTAAAAAAATTGATATATGTTGTTCCTGGTGATAAAATTGAGATCAAGTTTGATATTGACAATTTTCACTTTTACAGTTCAGGAGTTATAGTCCTTAATATATTGGAAAATGACATGTTATGTTGTTTCCATGCAATTACTTATGAACCAGTCAACCAATGCTTATCAATTCTTAATATGTTGTTACTGATGTCAAAATGGAGGTCAAGTTCCATATTGACGATTTTCACTTTTGCAGTTCAAGAGTTACAGGTTTGCTGTCAGTTTTGATTATGAAATTTTACAATCGATCATCTAGTTTGAATGTCTCAACTGATTTGTTTTGGATTGTAAACAATGATCAGAAAATCACTTATTTTAAGGTGATTTAAGGTGTGTAGTTGTGTAATGGTCATATTTGCTCAGATTGTGACTTTGTCTGGCTTTTTTCAAGAATGACCATGTGGAATTTCCATGTGAGTACAGACAAATAAATATTTTTGTGGTTCAAAATGTCTTTCACTATCCTTTTTGTGTACAAAATGCTACACTTTTCGAGATATAAGTTGTAGAAAAAGATCATGATCTATTGGCATATCTATATAAAGTAAGGAGATGTGGTGTGATTTTTAGATGAGAAAACTATCCACCAAAGTTCATATGGCATGGATATAAGCAATTATAGGTCACTGTATAGTTTACAAAGAAAAATATACTCTATTGTATGATTTTTCCCCCTTTTTGACAGTTTTGTCTGTTGAAACGGTTGTTTGTTGAATAAGGGATTTATGGCGCTTTTTATTCATTTCAACAATTTTTTTGCTGTCCGATTTCATTAGAGAAGGATACAGGAGTATGCAGGATGAATCATGCTGTTCAGCAGGTTCTTTATAAATTCCATTGTGTCACGATAGATCAGGTCCATCTTTCCATTTTTGTCTATGAACATTCTTCCATAGGGATCAGGATGATCAGGCAGTAAACAACAACATGTTAACTGATAAGGTGATCTGAACTGGTATAGATTTACAAACCACAGATATACATAAAAGGAGAAGTGGGTTGTATACCTCAATGAGACAGCAAACCTACCCCCAAAAAATGACTGAAAGACATCTGGAGGTCAACATTCAGTCTTCAACAATAGATAAGTGTCTGTACAGTATGTCATGCTCTAAATTGTCTTCTTGTTCACTGTGGCCCTTTCCTTTACCATATAAGTGGTTGTGATGAATTTATGTATAGTTTTAAACTTGAAACACAATTTGTGATAAAGTCAAGTTTTTTAATTGAGTTTTCAAATCACCTGTTGCTTGCATCTTTACAGTATGAGACAACAGAATACTTTTTCTTTTAGATATCCTGTTTCAGTTTATGGGTACAATTAATTATTTTACAACCTGTTTGTAACAACACTAAATAGGTTAAAAACTATTTTATGTTCCAAATCTTTATGTTGAACTTTAAATAGAGATATATGATTCCAATTAACCTAAGTAAATGAATTAATCGATAAACAACCATTTTACTGCTGTTTTAAGTTAGCAATTTTGTAGAATTAAATATGTTTTTCTGGCTGTTTTATTTTCAGCGTAGCATGGATAAATATTGATTTTTTGTCGTTACAACATGATGTAGATTGACACTTGTTTTGTAGAAATTTAATTGAAATATTGATATTAGTCTAGCTCAACAGCTGAGGTATATATTTGAAAACAAAAAAGATAGAATTTCACTGAAACATTGTTTTTCAATAAAACCTTGAATTACTACATACTTTTTGTAGACTATGTAAAATTCATGAAACATTGACAAAACAAATAAGATAATAATGTATATTCAAATTCTACCATAAAGTTTTAAACTATGATCATCAGAATTATATTCAACATTTATCTTTTAAAGATCACCTCAGGAGAACTCGGTGAACGAGTGGTTTAAAAAGTCGAACTACTGTATCACTAGCTAGTCAACACTGAGGTTGTGAGTTTGAATCCTGCACATGGCAGATGCGCTTGACTCCAATCTTAATTGACTAGGATTGTCAGTTTTCCTACCGAAGGTCGTAACAGGTTCTCTCCGGGCAGTCCGCTTCCTCCACCAATAAAAACTGTCTGCCACGAAATAGCACAATAGTGCTGAAACACCAATCAATCAATTTAAAGATCACCTCAGCCTTGATAAGCCTCCAACCTTGAATTGGTCAGCACAACTCTTAAATATGTTCTCATAGTTCTTGAATTTTTCTGCACAACCTCATGAATCCTCATCATCAAGTATAATTTTTAGGCTCAACATAAGGTTATATAATAATAGATATTAAAAAAATATAATACACAATGCAATTTTAAGCTATTGAAACTATTTGTTGGGAAGTTTTATCAAAGAACTCATCATGGATTGATTTGCAGACAGTGTTGGTTATTTCTTAAGTTTCCTGATAAAAGTTAGATATGCAAATACCTGTTAATTTGATAACAAAATGTTTTGTTAAACTGCATTTGTCAATTGGACCCTCAGATCACTTTGAGACAACAATTTAAGTATTATTTTGTATGCTAATGGGTATTAAGACATAATAATCATCAAAAATTACAGGCACAGAGAATATTTAATATCTTTAATACATATATTTACTTTTCTCTTTATTACTGCATTAAATATAAGAATTTGGCACATTAATCTGTTTGGTGTTATGAAGAATTTAATAACGTAATTTTATTTTGCAATCAATAAGTTCAAATATTTACACACTCTATACATGGTGATAAAATATATCATATTGAATTCTAAGATCAATTATTTTGCAACAAGTAAAGATTTTGTTTGTAAAACTACATGACTGAAGAGCTCAATAATGTTTATACATTTACCAAAAACTCTTAAAATCATGTTATATTGTACCCTTTTTCTTTATTCTTCCTTCCATGGTAAATTTTACATCTACAGCACTAACATGACTATTTTTAACCTTCCAGTAACAAGAGTTATCTCCCATGATATATTATTGACTGACTGTTGTAATTCATTATATATTCATAAGGATAACTTCAGACTATTTGTGGTGTTATCTTTAACTCTAGACCTGCAGCTACCAACTAGCAGGTAACAGGTATCAATGAGTATCAAAGAGAACCCCTAATAAATCCATGCTATGCAAGGACCATCTAGATGCTGAATAGCAATAAAAGTTCTGTTACTTTGATAAACTGTTTTTCCCAGTAGTTATAGGCAGAGTTGTATCATACATATATCCACTTGTAATTTTATCTTCGCACCAAATTATACTACTCCCTTTAAGTTCTTATTGTTTTACAGTGGCTACCATAGTTTTGTTGTATGATAAACTACCACAAAGACCTTATAAAAAATGTTTTATTTCTTGTGATTTCCTCTATGAAATATATGAACATACTTGTCTTTTATTTGTTTTTACCATAAAATCAGCAAAAATTAGCCTTTTATTATTATATAATCTTAAAAGAGGGGAGATAAACAGCTTGAAGGAAAAGACTCGGGACATTCTAACTTAGTTTACATCATGCCTCAACTCTTTACACCAAACCTTTATACTAATGACTTCAATTTTTGTTTAGGGGGGATAAACTAACGGTAATTATTTTACTATTATGTACCTTAGATAATTGATGTGCCGACTGTCAGTCAGTGTCCTCCAGAGGAGTGATGGTAGTGTGCAGAATAGAACAACTGGATTGTTTCAGTTAATTAGAAAGAATGGGGTAGTGTAGCCTGTAATTCAGTGGTTGTCATTATTTCATGTCTGTCATATTAGTTTTTTGATAAATTGTATTGTTATAAATCCGGCTACTAGTTTTCTCATTTGAAATGATTCTCGTTTTTCATGTGGGAGCCTTTTAAAGATGACTGGTAATACCGTATGCGTTTTCTCGTTGTTGAAGGCCTACAGTGACCTATAATTGTTTATATCCTCGCCATTTGAACTCTGGTGGATAGTTGTCTCATTGGCAATCATACCACATCTCCTTATTTTTATATAGTTAAGAGCTTGTTATTCTTGACATACCTGTTGAACCAAATCATGAACCTTCAATATTATATAACACTTGACTTTTCTTCCAGAGATGTCAGTTGATAGAGGCCCTCTTAAGGAGAAGTAATCACCAACAATTTCAGTTTCTATATACTGTAATGCAGCCACATCAACATAGAGATTTCATGTATACAGCTCAGAAACAGTTCCCAGAAACAGAGTTCACACCTGTCAGCACACATACAACAAGAGAGGTCAAGGTCAGTATACTGTGTGGGCCCCCCCTTTTTTGGGAAAAATTTGGTTGATTATATAGGGAATCACTGAAGCATGACTGGAGTGGGCCCCCTCTTAGGCAGTCAGTGGGCCACCACTTATGAAAATTTCTAGATCCGCCACTGGTTTCTGAAAAGAGAGGTTAGACTTTTCATAACAAAATAACATAAATTGAGTGCTTGAAGTAATTAATAACCATGTATTGATTGTCAAAATTTTTTTGCGTCTGAAATCAAAAGGTTTTACTCATTTCACATTAGCTAAGGATCTTTCAGTTTTTAGGTTTTGAACTTTTCACATAATATTTTGGTTATTATATATATTATGCGTCAATTAGAATACAGATTTTGTGAAATTTTGAGTTTGAAATATTTTCATCTATGTCTGAGATTTAATCGTGTTCAAAACTGTTCATCCAGATTTTGCTTTCATTGCAGTTTTATTTGATTCAAACCTTACAAAAGGCATTATTGAAGGAGTTTAGAACTTCCCACAGATATCTTTGGATCAACGCATTATTTATGTTATTTGTAATGTTTAAGAAAAGTTTCATATTTGTATACAAAACTTTTTAAAACTAGCCCACTGTGAAATCTACTTATTTTATTTACATACATGGAAAAATTAAAGGGAAAGTATTTTATGAAATTTGAAAAATGGACAACTTAAATGAACCTTCATGCTGTAAGTTTAGCATAAAACTTAGATTATTAAGAGACAGATACATATATAATGAATGTAATTCTTTATTTTGTGTCAACAAAAGATGGAAAAATTGTGGGAATGACTTACACACTGATTTTAACAGCATAGAAATGATGAAAAGACTCCAACTATTTAAAGTTTTTATATCAGTAATATTTAGAATAATGAATGAAAGGAGATGTGGGAAAATAAGGCATATAACCTTGAACATTTGATGAAAGTGGCATTGGAAAATTATCAAGATGTCATTTTAAATAATTATTGTTTGCACTTCATTTTTGTTCAAACATGTAGAAGTTAATTATGCTAGAAAAAAATTTGTGTCACAAAGCCGTTAGTTAGGTTCATACTTAAAAAAATTTAATTCAAAAGAACATAATGGCTCAATAACTTTATATAACTTCAATCACAAGTTAATATAATGTGATCTCTATATCTTTTCATGATTTTTTTGTAACATATTTTATCTTTCCTTAGAAATAATAACTTTTACTTCACTTCAATTGGTAATTGAATATGAATACATGCATGTACTGTAAATTGCTTTGGCTATACATGTAACCGAAAGTAAACGAACATGAACATAATGTTACTCAAATGGATAGAAGAGAGAAACATGAAGATGAAAAATGAATAGATATATAATTCTGTTTTTGTCTTATTTTAAACAAACCTCTTTGGGTTAAATTTATTTACCCATTTGAAAACTCAACATAAACCTCTAGGTCAAATTTATTTACCAACTTGAAAATTCAACATCTAAAATTTTCTAGGATTATCACCTGGCCTCAAGAATTATTTACAGAAATTCCAGCCTATTCCATTATTTTTTGCATCACTTCATGGGTTCATCAATGCTGGACCTTCCAACCAGATGTTCTATTTGTATGCAGGATTCCATTTAGATTTGTGATAGAAAAGAAAGGATATGGGGATCCATCCATGACACAAAATCAGTACAAGCACAGCAAAAAACACATAAAAAGCAAAGGAACAGCGCTTTTATTGCTGTTCTTCATCTCAAAGTCACAGTGAGACCTCAACACGGAGCAAAAAAACTCTCACCTCACTGCAAGTTTAAGATGGCCCCTAGCACTGGCTTGATTGGAATTCTTTGCAAAAATAATTTGGATAGACTTTTTAAGATATAAAATACCACCAAATCCGGCCCGGTAAAAAAAAGATCATACTGGAAAGTATTACAAATTTAAAACAAAATGGGTCCTACGCACAAGTGTAAATATAAATATATGTAGAATATATATTAGTAATTAAGGTATAATGTGAGCATTCCATGGAAGGCCATAAAATGTGGTTTAGGATCCTATCCCCTCAACTAAACACAGGAAAAACAGAATAATTTTTCTATGCATCCTGAAAAAAATATGATGAATTATATATTCACCTCTCTAACAATCCTTTATTATAAAAAAGTAGTTTAGGGATGATAACTGAAGTTTGATTTGATCATATTAGCTACACTTAACTTTTGCAGAAAGTCTGTGAACTGTATGTATGCACACTTTGAGTTTGATTTTTCACAATAAATTTGGCTTCTTCTCAGAGGCAATATTGCTGCTTTTCAATGAAGGAACTGACAGCAAATTATTGGTAAAGTTCAATATAGATCATCACAGGTTTAACAGTGCAGGAGTTGTGTCCCTTGAAAAACTTAAAGTCATAAAACTAAATGTTCTAGACAATTATTTTTATCTTGCTTATAGTAAATGTCTTGATCTTTAAGTTAAAGATTAAAACCTTTTAATAACAGATCAGGTTTGATCTTATACAGATTAATGATTATATTCAGGCAATACCACTTTTGAAAAAATTAGCAATTCAATCCTAAGTTTTCTAACTAACCTATTAGTTAACAGTGACCCTTTTAAAAATGTTTTCCCTCAAATCACAGTAAGGCATTGAATTTACATTTCATTAATGTGTTTTCCAACTATATTGTAGAGACGAGTACAGCTCCACAGAGAGGACAATTATTACAGAGTTAAGAGTGCTTACTTCCACTTGGATGATGAAGTAAAGGAACAAAACAAAGTGATCCGTAGTGTCAGATTACCGGAAATTCTTCAAGATAATCACATCATTATTCACAAAAATGACACCAGTATCAGGTATTATTTGTTTGTTAATCAGGATTTGAAATTAAATACAATTAATATTTATCAGCCAATTGCCCAAAATATAATTGTGGCATGTATTTTGTCCACACACTGGTATTATCCACCAATTAAGTTCATCCAATAGTACCCTTCTATCATAAGATCTGGCAGTAGTAAAACATTAGGGGGAAACCAAATAACTAAAGAAACATTATGAAACAATATAGATGTAGATAACCCGATATCTATCAATCTCTCAAAAAGGGTAGATAACTCCATAAATTTCATATATGTTTAACTGAGACATGCCTGAGAATGCTTGAAGATTGTGAATATCAATATAAGGTAAAACACTTCAGTATTAAAGTCAACCCTTTTGCAATATTAAATGTATTTATTTACTGAAAATTTTGATCAGAATCCAAAGTCTCCAGAATACCAGTATATATACCACAGTTTGCATAATTCCCAGACAGACTGCTCCCTACCAGTAATGTGTGAAATTTCCATCTTTGAAACTATCTTTTTCTCCTTTTAAATTAATATACCGGTACATTGTTTTTTTGTATTATAGAGCATAGTGAAATGCTTTATCAATGATTACTTAAAACATATGCTTAAAATCCACTTTATAAAGTTTTGGAACCAAATCTATGGCCAGTCTACCAAAGCTGTGTACAGTTCCAAAGAGAAGATCAAACAAGAGTATCAGAAAGTATAAATTGTTACAGACCAGTAAAGAAGAACTATACAATGGTCCAGCTGTTGACAGGTATTAAATATTTTTTGTTTGGTGGTCACTTTCTTGGTTCATTGTATGACCAAGCTGTACAGTCCCTGTCTCCATTAGACAAATGTTAGATTGTGCACAATAGTGGAAAATTGAGAATTTAGATCAATGATCTTAAATGTGTATGATAGACAGGATGGCCATAATTCATGCTTTTGACCCAGATAGCAAATTCTTTTTTTAACATTATGTACCCACAATTTTGCCTACACTAAGTTTCAGAGAGTCTCTTATCTGTTTGGTACTTGTAAAATTGTGACATTTATAAATGTATAAGTGCACTTTAAAATGTTTAATATAGTTCTTATGTGATGTTTTCTGGTCATATTTTATTAAGAAACTTCTTCTTGAAAGTGTACATAAGTTATGTTTATGTGTCCACTCCTGATAAGAAAATAATTTATCTTTTTTACCTCAAATATTAATATAAGCATTTGGCATGGTGCCTTTATCCTCATAGTCAAATACTGCTTTTCTATTAAGGAACAAACATTTCTAATAACTTCCTGTCCAAGGTTACATGCATTTTGAAAAGGCATCAACATTGAATTAAAAGGGGGAAAATCAGTTCTGCTTTGAAAATAATAAGCTGGTGACCTATAGTTGTAAACTTCTAAGTCATTTGGTCTCTGGTGGAGAGTTGTCTCATTGGTAATCATACCACATCTTCTTATTTTTATACTAACTATTGCATGGCTTTTGTAAGAAAGACTGCGTTCTGAAAGAAAACATCTTAAATTAGAGGTACCGGTTATAATAATGGTCATGTTTATAAAGGATTCTTAACATTTCTCTTCAAATTGTACTCATAAACTGTCTATTTATAGCAGTTTATGGATATTTTATGAAGAGTTCCTGTTTAAATCCTCCAATTTATATTACTCATTGTCTGGCCATTGACATAATTATGTGCACATTTTAAGTTTATCGTAAATATTTAATACCTGTAATATAAGTATATTAAAATTTCATAATCTTTACAATAAATTTTCAGGTATTTACTAATGACTTAATTACTTTCTGTCAGGACTATGATTATGACAAAATTAGTCAGAACTTGGACAGGAATTTTCACAAGCAGATGTTATTAAGATTTCTGGATATTTTTCTATAAAATCAGTTTAAAAGTTTTAGGGATAACAAACATGCATTTGGTAGGAAATAGAATAGTCTGTTTAAATTGCAGTCTATAAATATAGTTTATTAGAAAGGTTTTTGTAAGGCAAGAATAATTAAAATTGAAGTACATTTGTACCGTTAATCTGGGACTATTATACATAGTTATGTTAGTATAATAGTCCCAGCGTTAATTACATATTTTATTGGTTTATATTTTCTGATGGTATAAAGCCAAAAAAGCCGTTATGTAATGAAAACAAGTTTAAATTAATAAATATTGCTGAATCATGTAGGATATTAAAATACACATACATATACCTCTTTGTAATAAAGCATTAAAATAGATAAAAAAAAAAGTGATATGTAAGGGACTAATAGCCTATTTATTGTGATATGTATTGCTGTTGTGACATCTTGAAAAACAAGGTATACAAGCCTTCAAACATTTACAGGTTAATTTCCTACAAAGAGACTTGTAAAAACACTTACAAAACCCTTGACCATTTCCAAATGACTGCTTAAACTGCTTGTCACTAACTAATATCAGCATACAAGTCATCACCATTCTATAATGTTCTTTTGGTAAAGCAAACACCAATCAATCAATCATTCAATATAGGAAACAAACAAAAACAGCAGTTGTTTAGATGCACCTCCTGAAAACTCAATCTGTCTTTCAAAGTTTTTATTCATCCCATGTGTACTTATGTACAGCTAGCTAGGGCCAACCATGCATTTTAAATCTGATGGATAGTTCTTCTTCAGTTTTTAATGGTCTTTATATTTTATATTTTAGGTTTGAGATTTTGTATATCCAAATTAGATGAAAATTCAAGAAATAAATGTTGATTTTGAGTTTTTTGAGTTTTTATACGCCCGTTTACGGGACGTATTATGGTATACCGTTGACCGTCTGTCTGTCCGTCCGTCGTCAACATGTTGGACATTAACTAAAAAAAGCTTTGACCAATAAGCATGAAACTTGGGTGAATTGTTTATATCTATTGACGTGAGCTCCCTTTCGTTATTTATAAATTTCAGATTTACCTTTTCCGAGTTTTGGGGTTTTATTCATTAAAAAAGGGGAGATTTTCCAGTTTTCCGACAATAACTCAAGAATGCTTTCACCAACTTGCAAGAAATTTTGGTGAATTGTTTATATCTATTGACATGAGCTCCCTTTTGGGTTTTTATAAATTTTAGATTTAACGTTTCCAAGTTACAGGATTTTATTCACAAAAAAAGGGGGATTTTCCAGTTTTCCGACAATAACTAAAAAATGCTTTTGGCAGTTCTCATGAAACTTTGTTGAATTGTTTATATCTGTTGATGTAAGCCCCTTTAGAATTTTATAAATTTTAGATTTTACATTTCTGAGTTATGGGGTTTTATTCATTAAAAAAGGGGTGATTTTCCAGTTTCTGGACAATAACTCAAAAATGCTTTCAGCAGTTCTCATGAAACTTATGTGAATTATTTATAGCTATTGATGTAATCTCCTTATTGATTTTCATAAATTGCAAATATGACATTGAGAAGAAATTGACTTTTTTTGTTTATAGTCTGACAACAGATTTACTGCGCAACAGCACAGTGTATTGCACAACAGCAAGAAATCTTTAATTGAATATAAATTCAATTCATATAACCAATTTCAAGTTCTTTGACTACATTTATGCAGGAACCTATAAAATGTCAAATATCTAATTACAATCCAAATTCAGACCTGTATCAAGCTTGAATATTGTGTCCATTTTTGCCCCAACTGTTCAGGGTTGGACCTCTGCGGGCGTATCCAGCTGCGCTCAGCGAAGCATTTTATTTCTTTATTGTAACATTTTAGATTTGTTGACATGCCAATAAAACGACACATTCAGAATGAAAGGTTGACACAAAGTGTTCCAGTTTTAAATACTAGTAGTAGAGCTGATAAAAGTGCAATGTCTTCAACCAAACCACCTTCCACTGCCAAATTTACAGAGGTAATTAAACAGAACTAAGTTCAACCATAGCTGTACATGTGTTAATCAGTTTTTATGGCTTCAAGCTTTTTATGGGACCGGGGCAATTCCTGTCGTTCTGAAACATCTAGTTTCCTGTCAGTCTTCAATTTATTAACTTTTTGGGCTGGGGTGGCATAAAGCAACCACAAATCAATCAATCAATTTATTAATTTATTAAGAGCTGACTTAACAAACTTCAGCAAACTGATGTAGATCTAAGATGGAGAAACTTGTGTAGATCTAAGATGGAGTAACTGATGTAGATCTAAGATAGAGTAACTGATGTAGATCTAAGATGGAGTAACTGATGTAGATCTAAGATGGAGTAACTTGTGTAGATCTAAGATGGAGTAACTTGTGTAGATCTAAGATGGAGTGACTTGTGTAGATCTAAGATGGAGTGACTTGTGTAGATGTAAGAACTTGTGTAGATCTAAGATGGAGTGACTTGTGTAGATCTAAGATGGAGTAACTTGTGTAGATGTAAGATGGAGTAACTTGTGTAGATGTAAGATGGAGTAACTTGTGTAGATCTAAGATGGAGTAACTTGTGTAGATCTAAGATGGAGTAACTGATGTAGATCTAAGATGGAGTAACTTGTGCAGATCTAAGATGGAGTAACTTGTGTAGATCTAAGATGGAGTAACTGATGTAGATCTAAGATGGAGTAACTTGGTCAATGTTGATTTCAATGCCTTATAATTCTTTGCATATTCCTTGATTAGAATAAAAAGTGACCTGAGTAAAAATACTGAGATAAAATATTTGGTACAAATCTACCCCTCTTTACAATTTTTTTTTTGTAACATATTATTCAGTAGGAAAAAATATCAGATATTCCATATATAGACTAAATATTCCATGTATAGACTAAATATTCCATGACACCAGCAGGTGAATGCAGGTAGAATGACATAAACCCTAATCGTGTAGAGAAGAAAACTAATTAACTCATTTCTTTTTGATACTAATGAGTGTCCTTATCTTTTAATTGTTTCATAATATATTTTTTATTTTCCAGTCAAAGCCAGACTCTGATCAGATATTCAACCTCAGTACAAATGCCAGTACAGTAGTACATTGGTACACTGACCTTTGGACAGGTAAAAATAGTATAAAATAACACAAAATCGGAAAAAAAAATTCTGGAACATTTTTCCTTGTGGAAAGCTACATTTTTAATGTTGTATACTGGTAAATGATGTAATTTTTTTTAATCCTGAAGGTTCCCACAACCTCCTTTGCTTTGCCTGTATTCCAGTGAAATTTTATGTAGATTTGATTTTAATTTTTTCTATGACTGCAAAAAATTTGCGTTCGTATATTGCTATCATGTCGTCTTCATCGTCGTCCGAAGACATTTGGTTTCCAGACAATAACTTAAGTATCAAAGAATGGATCTCTATGAAACTTAATCACAAGGTTCAATAGCACAAAAGGAAGGTTGGTATTGATTTTGGGGGTTTATGGTCCCAACTGTTAAGGAATAAGGGGTCAAAAAGGGGCCAAAAAAGGCATATTTCTAGTTTCCGGACAATAACTTGTGTATAAGTGTATGGATCTCTATGAAATTGTACCACAAGGTTCCATACCACAAAGGGAAGATTGGGATTGACTTTGGGGGCCCAAATCATTCAGGAATTAGGGGCAAAAAAAGGGGGTAAAACAAGTTTTTCTGGTTAATGGACAATTACTATAGTATTAGTCTGTGGATCTCTATGAAATTGAAACACAAGGTTCTATACCACAAAGGGAAGGTTGGGTTTGACTTTGGGGGTTATGGCTCAAACTGGGAAAAAGGGGCAAAAAGGGGGGGAGGAACAACGTTTTTCTGGTTTCCAGACAAATACTTAAGTATTAGTCAATGGATCTCAATGAAATTGTACCACAAGGTTCCAAACCACACACAGAAGGTTGGGGTCGATTTTGTGGTTGTGGCTTTCAACGTTAAGAAACTAGAGGCCAAATAGGGGCCAAAAACAAGACTTTTCTAATACTGGCTGAGCTGGTTCTAACATAAATTATTTCTGATCTATATAAAGAAACAACAAATACTGATATGGCAGGAGATACACACCAAACAGGGTGTGTAAATTATTATATTTAGTTTGTAAACAGATTTACTAAGTATTGCAAAGTATTACACAACAGCAAGAAATCTTCAATTGAAAATAAATACAAATCTTTTAACCAATTTCAATGAGGATTAATTTAAAGTTTTGAATTGTTTGAGGTTTTTACTATGTATTACTAAATTGGATATTTGAACATTTTTAAACAGATCTACTTTGAGGTCCAAAGGGTCCAAAATTAGACTTTGTTTGATTTCATCAAAAACTGAATTATTGTGGTTCTATGATATGCTGATTCAACTGTGCATTCAGATTTTTAATTTTGGGCCTGTTTTCAAATTAGTCCATATTAAGGTCCATAGGGTCCAAAATTAAACTTTGTTTGAATTCATGGTTTTTTTTATATGCTGAATCTAACCATGAAATTATATTTTGGATATTGGACCATTAAGTAAATTAAATGTCCCATTTCAAATTTTTATGTTATCTGTCCACATTTATTCTGTGTCAGAAATCTATAATGTGTCAAATATTTAATCACTATCCAAATTCAGAGCTGTATCAAGCTTGAATATTGTGTCCATACTTGCCCCAACTGTTCAGAGTTCTACCTCTGTGGTTGTATCCAGCTGCTTCAGGCGGAGCGCATTTTTGTATTTCTTACAAAAATGTTTTTATAGATATCCTGTGTAAATAAATTTAAATCTATAACAATATCAGAAAAGTTATTACCTGGTAAATGTAAAAATGTGGAAAAAATTATGACTACATAAGCTGAACCATATATTTTATTGGAATTGAAAAATCTATTTAGAACTTGCAAAACTTGAAAAAATAATAGTTTACAGAGTTCAAATATTTCAAGTTATCATTTAAAACATTAATTTAAATACTTGAAAGGGAATATTAGATAAGTTAAATTTTGACTAGAAAAGTTTTATTTAAACAGTAATTCATAATCAAAAACAAATACAACTCCTCGATTTTCACTCTCTGTGTTTGTTTAACATTGAATTTCTTAAAAATGTAAACACATAAAATTTTTAAATTACAGGGTTACAAATTAAATTGATTGTATTTGTAAATGCATTAAACAATTCTACTTATATTGGCAGATGTTAAAAGAAATGAATTTCTACATAAGCTGATATTAAAATTAGATCCTAGACAACATTACTTCATATCAAGTTTTATGTTGGTAAGTATTATATAGATATAGGAAGATGTGGTATGAGTGCCAATGAGACAACCCTCCATCCAAGTTACAATTTATAAAAGTAAACCATTATAGGTCAAGGTACTGGTCTTATTTACACTCCATCTTATCACACTGTATATCCCTGCAAAAAAAGAAACAACATTCAAAAAATTTAGACAAGCTTGAAACAAAATTATCTGGGATGCATTTGTAAGAAACTTTTAAAAATTATTTGGAAACCTTGTTAGGAACTTAAAAGATTATCTAAGACTAATTTATATTGAACCTGAAAGAAGAGTAACTGAGACACTTTCATTAAGTACTAAAAAATTGTCAAGTAAAGATTTGTAAAAACACATGTTTAGTCAATATCTGAGATTTAATTCTGTTAGATATAAACTTACACTTCACAGATTCATAGTGAATATTATATCATTTAGTACTAGATAAATGTATTTATGTGTTTTAGCTTATATTCAAGACACTACTTGTTTCATACAAAATGAAATTTATATTCAGAACCCATGTATGGTTATTTTATATTTATGATTTGATCAATATATATAAAAACTAGATTATCATTAAAGAATATGGTCCTTTTAAAAAAGGTTTATTGTATGACTGGTTTCATATTTTTAACAATGGGATTAAATTTAATATCTGATATGATGGTAAATAAACGTGAATTGATGGTACAAAAAACGTATTCACTACTTCTTATATAAAGAATCTTAGTTAAATAAATGAATTTACATATATCCACAATAAATAAAACTCAGTCATCTTTTGAAAAATTATACAATAATGATTAACAAAGCAATCGAAATTCATTTTTAGCAGACGAATGTACTTAGTAATGTATATGACATTAATTTTCAATAATTTTTCTAAATTTATCATCAGAAAATTTAAGAAATTTATTTTATAGATCATGTCAGTGTGGAAGCACTGAATGTTGGACCTATAATAAAACCGTTATGAACAATATCTTCTCATATATGTATATTTGTTCTTTAAATCAGTATTATAATCTTAAGTCCATTACTCAGGCTCCACTTTTACTAGAATTGATCGATTTAATTTTTCTACAAAGATGTCTCAGACAGGAACATTTTTTTCTGTCTTCACTTTTTTTACTATTTGCGCCATATTTACATGCAGGCCATATTATTCATCTGTATACCGGTAGGTATCTGCCTGGAAAATGAATTCCACTTATATATTTCCTGCTGGAAAAGGGACTCCCTTTATAAGTTTCCAGCTGGAAAGGGATTCCTTTTATATGTCTCCAGTTGGGATAGGAAATCCCATTGTAGGTTTCAAGGTGGAAAAGCGATTCCCTTTATAAGTTTCCAGCTGTCATGATAAACCCAGCTTACAACTTGAGTATTTTTCTGTTGCAATTAATTTTAAGTGTGCAGAATTGATTACCATAGAATTCTCAGAAAAAAGTCCAAGTATAAAACCTACCTAAACTTGACGATTAAATTTAGTCGGAAAAAAGAATTCACATTTAAACACCGTTTTTTTTTTTGCTGTCTGTAAGATAAAAAAAAATTTAGATAAAGATTTACCATTAAGAATAATAATTCATGATTTTATAAGAGCATTTGAAATGGGCAGTGTCGTGAACCATAGAACTTGCGAATCATTTTTATATGCCCGTCAAATTTTTGACGGGACGTATTATGGTATACAAATGTCCGGCGTCCGTCCGTCTGTCTGTCTGTCCGTCTGTCTGTCCGTCTGTCTGTCCGTCCGTCTGTCTGTCCGGCGTAAACATGTCGCACCGTAACTTGAGAATGACTTATCCAAATTTCATGAAACTTGACATAGTTGTTTCTTATGATGGTCAAACGATTTGTATACTTTTTGGTGAAAATAATATTAAAACTTTTTGAGTTACGGGACTTAGTAACTAAAAGAGGTGTGTGTTTTTTTTCACATGTCGCGCCGTATCTCAAAAACAATTTATGATTATTGCTTAAAACTGTACACACTTCTTAGTTATATTAATCTTAAGATCTGTATACTTTTTGGTGATGATTCAAAATTTTATTTTAGAGATATTGAGTATTTTGTTAAAAAAGGGGGAGGGGTTTTTCACATGTCGCGCCGTATCTCAAAAATAGTTTATGATTATTGCTTAAAACTTTACACACTTCTTAGTTATATTAACCTTAAGATCTGTATACTTTTTGGTGATGATTCAAAATTTTATTTTTGAGTTATTGAGTATTTTGTAAAAAAAGGGGGAGGGGTTTTTCACATGTTGCACCGTATCTCAAAAACGATTTATGATTATTGCTTAAAATTTTACACACTTCTTAGTTATATTAATCTAAAGATCTGTATACTTTTTGGTTTTGATTCAAAATTTTATTTTTGAGATATTGATTTTTTTTTTTTTTAAAGGGGGATTTTCACATGTCGCGCCGTATCTCAAAAACGATTTATGATTATTGCTTAAAATTTTACACACTTCTTAGTTATATTAATATAAAGATCTGTATACTTTTTGGTTTTGATTCAAAATTTTATTTTAGAGATATTGAGTTTTTTGTAAAAAAAAAAGGGGGTTTTCGCATGTCACGCCGTATGTCAGAAACTATTTATGCTTATTGCATAAAAATTCACACACAAGACGACGGGCGTATCATGCGCTCATGGCGCAGCTGTTTATTCATAAAGCTGACGTTATATTTCAATATCATATTTCTTTATTAAACTTGTAGAAAGAAACACGTTTTTGAAAATAATGTAGTTTCTCTTCACATTTATGAATAAATGCAAAGATTCAGGTTGTTATTAGATAAATACCTACATGACATATTTCCTACATATTTTTCAGGTCAGACGACATCGGGACTTTTTAACCTTACTTCCAGAAAAAATAGTTTTATGTATACTGAACATTCTAGATACAAAGGAACTGTGTAAATGTGCTGAGGTAATGAGAAATTCACTTTAATACTTTTTCAGCATTGTTTAGCAGTGCATGAAAACTCTGTAAATTATAAGTTATACCAGTATTATCAAATTGAAATGTTTATTCTTCTTTTAGTTAATATAATAAAGGGAGATAACTTGTTTCAGACCAGTTTTAATGACATATGGTCTAGATAGGTATATAGATAAAGAGGCAGGTTTTTGTGCCTGTACCAAGTCAGACTATTTGGACCATGTGTTGTTCCTTTTTGTTTGTTTGTCTTTTTTTGGGGTGGAGTTCGATATTGTTTTTGGCAGATCAGTTGTACTGTCCGATATAAATAGGCGATTCCTGTTATCTTTTTTGTGTTTTATAAAGTACAAATTCAGATTTTACTTCAGTTATCAAAGGTTTCAATTAACAAATGCCATATAAAAATTTTGATGTCATGGTTAATAGTATCCAAGTTGTCCTTGGTCTAACTGAAAGCGTTTATCTCAGTGATTCTATTGTCATTTTCAGGTTAGTAAATCATGGTACAGTTTAGCATATAATAACCAGTTATGGAAATGGAAATGTGACGCTGTCAACATCAAAGTCACTATACCTACAGACCCTGTATGGAAACAAGTCTATAGAGATAACGTCATTCTGGAACGGAACTGGCATAATGGCACTTACAGAACCGTAGATATGAAGGGCAACACAGCTCCGTAAGTAACTATATGTTGTCATATAGTTATAATTAGAAAATTGATAGAAAATGAAATTTGCTATTTACATAACAATGCCACTGATACAGTTAAAAAAATGATCTGCTATAATACAAATAATGAGATGTGGACTATGGTTGCCTATGAGACAACTATGCACAAGTGAACAAAGGATGAGGATTTATAAAAAGTCATTTTCTAGCAAAGAAACAAATTGAACAAAAAATAATTTATGACATTTCTACCATTGTTAGAAGTTGAAAAAGATCTACCAATCTGATATTGGTAACATCAAAACTATTGTCTATCAATGGTGAGACAAATCTACTAAAAATTCAGTAGTTATGAATATTTAGCTTATAAGACCATTCTTTTTCCAGATGGGAGGAAGCAGTCGGGTATATTTATTTAGCATTTTTAATAAACTAATTTATTTATATTTCCATTTTTATGGTAGATATGTTTGAGAAATTGTATATTGCGTTATTATAGCTTTTTTGTTATTTTTATTTTTTGTCCTATTTTGTGCCTTTACTTGTTTTGTGCTTTTTTTTATTTTATTATATTTCTGCTTTGTTATACACACTTTTATCCATTTTTCATTAATACACATGTACTTTAGAATTTCACTCTTTTATATCTATATATTTACATATCTTTCAAACATTATTCTCTGCTTTTTAAACTTCTTCTGATGTAGAGACACCGCCGGCGCCACGGAAAGCTGCTTTTTCACACATATATCTTAACAAACTAAAACTATTCTTGTTCTTTTTTCAAAAAACTCCATGCATAATTTATGAATAACAATAATTTACTTAATTCTCTATACTGTAAATAAATTTTGTTTAATAGTGTTTGTAAGACTTTATTCACAATTACATATTCTTCTATACATGCTATGCCAGTAGGTTTCTTGGCAGATAATTTATTCTTTCAAGTTTTAAGTCCAGTTTTATAACTTTAATTTGATATTGCTTTCAAGCATACAAATATGTCATATACTCCGAGAATGATATGTAAAATATTTCAGAATACCACTGAAATTACTGTTAACTTGTTTATTTTCATGGGTACCAATTTTCATGGATTCAGGAAAAAATGGATACATGATGTCTGATGACACAACAATTAACACCTTCGCTGTATGAGTATTCTTTTCAAGGTCATTGGATACAATGGTGGCCTTAGTAATAGACATATTTACACTTATCTGCAAATTTGTCAGCCATTACTTAACACCACACAAGTTCCCATAACCTGAATAATTCAGTCCCTCCCCGTGATCAACTCTCCCACTCGTGATAGATATCTTAGAGCAGGAATATAATGACTGAATTATTCGGGTTAAAGTTCCCACAAAATATTGCATAACAATTAAAAACATTTGACATCATAATGTAAAAGTGATTGTTGCATGAGGTTAGAAGGTTGTTCAGAGACAGATCTAGGATCATTTGGAGACAATTCAGCTAAAAACCCAAAAGTTTAAATACGTCTATTGTAATAAGAGTCGAAAAATTAGTTAATTTTGATAAGTATGTAATGCATTCAATCTTAGATACACATGTAAAAACCCTTCCTTTTTTTAGCCATCCTGCACCAGCTATTGTAACAGAAATTGTTGTCTTATTACAGGGTTGAGTCGGTAATCTTTGACAGAAATATACTTGTCAGTGGAAGTCAGGACAAAACAGTCAAAATCTGGGACATCAAGACTGGAAGATGTGCACATACATTTGAGGGACACCAAGGGGGAATTTGGTGTCTTAGTTTCTTCACCCCAAACCTAATACTGAGTGGTTCTCATGATGGAACAATCAAGGTAATAACAATGATCTTACTGCAACTAGTAAAAAAGAAGTTTGGAGATAAATATTTTCTCTGGGATGATCTTATTTTATACACCAATAATTGAAATGACCATTATCATGGAACTGTATTGACCCAACTTCATCCAATTGATAAATAATTTTCCTCCCCCAATTATTTATTTAAGAAACCTAGAAAAATTTATTTTTTCCTGCCTGTTTTCCAATTTTTATATTGTATATATAAATAAGAAGCTGTGGTATGAGTGCCAATGAGACAACTCTCCATCCAAGTCACAATGTATAAAAAGTAAACAATTATAGGTCAAAGTACGGCCTTTAACACAGAGCCTTGGCTCACACCAAACAGCAAGCTATAAAGGGCCCCAAAATGACTAGTGTAAAACAATTCAAACAGGAAAACCAACGGTCTAAATTGTACATGTTTTGTGGTGGTTTATTAGGGGAGCATTGTGATGACCTTCGATACGGAAAAAAGCTGATCTGAAACTACTGCTTGATTAAATGAACTAATATTATCTGTGATTTATATGATTTTTTTTTAATTCAACAAACAAAAACACCTAATTTTGAATGGTGATTTCAACCTGCAAATCACTTTTTTGGTTCTAATACTGGGTGAATATACTTTGATATATTTTGGGGATTTTTTTATCCTTCCTTCCTTTTAGTTCATATTTATCACACAATTTATGAAACAATTATTTTGTTTAACAGATTTGGAATGTGAAAGAGAGGAAAATGGCCAGATCTATTCTAGCTCATGATGGACCAATATGGGCCATGGTCAGACATGAGAAAACCCTAGTTAGTGTATCACAAGACAAAACTGTAAGTTCTACATAATCTACAACTAGGTTAAGTCATAGATACAATTTAAATAATGAAAGAGTAATTAAATATGTATAATCAATAGTTAAAAGTCATGTAGGCCAAATTTACTTCCCAAAAAATAAATAGTTACCATTTAAGAAATGTAAAATTAAAATCAATTTGCAAAGAATTTTTTTAGCAGTTATTTTTAAATACATTTTATTCCAGAAATACTGCATTTAATTGCATACTGCCTTACACGTTTAAAAAAAAGTTAAAACAGTAAAATGTACAAAAAAATCTTAAATTAAAAGTATGATCTAATTATCAATGTACATGTGACATATAAACTAATACATGTTGACTTTTTTTTCAGGCAAAAGTGTGGGATATTTCACGCTGCTTACTGCTTAAGACACTAACAGGACATAATAAACCAATATTTGCTGTAGACATGAATGAAGATGGAACATTAGTTATAACAGGATCTGCTGACAGGGTGAGCTTTTTTTCCAGTTGCACCAGTCATATTATAAAGGCACCATATTTATAACTGAAATGAAATTATTCTACTTTACTAGAATCCTTTCAAAAACTTATGAGTTTTATAGCTGGAAAAATTAGTTTTATAGCTTTTATGATGTGTTGCTAGGGAACACTTTTTCAACATTATGTCATAATCATCCACCTTTACCCAAATTACCTTCTTTTTTCATTTTTTAAATGAAGTACTACAACTACAGGGATGTTAAACAACTTTAATACCCATAAAAGCCTTGTATGGTCAGTAAAAGAAATGGAGAGCTGTAACATCAGAAATTATTGCATGCATTTATTATTGCGATTTTTAAAGAATGGTAAAAAATGAGAGATTAATTATTGTGCTTTCAGGAAAAACTACATACTTATATATTTATGTACCTGATATCAAAATGCAAGTTCTTATTTTTCTGATACTCACACAGTCACATTATTAGCATTAATAAAAACCTCTCAATAGTTATGTAGAAAATCAAATAAGGGGAGATAATTTGTAATAACTGTTAATCAACCACTTACTTTGATTATAATGACAGACTGTAAAGATATGGGAAGTGGAGACTGGTGAATTAAAGAAAACCATATGGGTGAGCAGTACAACCTCTGTCATGACTGTCAGCTACCATAAAGGGTTCATTGCTGCTGGGTACGACAACATTGTCTGTCTACACAGAGAAACAGGAAAACTTATCAAAACCTTCAATGAACATGAGAAACGGTAACTTATATATATATACCATAAATTTAAGTGTATTAAGTCATTTGAAATATAGTAAAATTATTGCATTTATGATATTAAGAAATACATTGCAAAATAGACTTAAAGCTTAATAGTAAATATAAAATGTTAAGAAAAGCTAAATAAAATCAAATTGTCCCTCTTTCTCAAGCAGCTTTGCCATCAGAACATTTATATACACATCACTAACAGATTCATCGTGACATATGCATATGCTATGCCTTTAATCAATTTGATAATGGTTATTTTTGTTGTTGTTTACAGAGTAGAATCTGTTCAGCTGAAAATTGAAGATCCAGAAAAGATAACAGGAGCAATCATAAGTTCTGGACAAGGTGGACTGGTCAAAATATGGAATACTAAAAAGTAGGTCTCGGCTTTTATTTATTTTATTTTTAAATGTTATTCAATAAAGTATTCAATAGTGAAGGTAAAGATCAGAAACCAAATTAAATGAGTGAAAAGAATTGAAGCAAATGTTGTTACATATCACAAATATGATAAATGTATCATTTTAATCGTTTTTCCTTAAACCAGTGCGAGGTGTGTTGGACTCCAATCTTAATTGATTATGATTGCCAGTTTTCATGCCGAAAGTTGGTGGATCCCTCAGGGAACTCTGGCTGCCCTGATATAGCAAAGTATGCTGAAAGTGGCAATAAACACCAATAATTCTTATATGATTTGAATATTAGGGAATATGTTTATATGATTGGTCGAGAGGGCTTCCAGTTGTGGCTCATGAGGTTATTTATTTTTCGATAGACGACATTGACTGAACTACTTTTTGTAACCATGTAAACAAGATGGTGGCAATAATAACACAAACCAGCTCGACGTTAAAAATATTTATTTTCACTTCGCGTTCATCGTTAAATCAAATAATAAACACATTTGAATGATAAGAAGATATTTTTGTAGTTTTTTTTTTTGTCAGATATCAAATTTCATAGAGTACATTTTTTGTTTTTACCAAAAATATATTCATGGGCCAGGCCAATTTAATGTCACAAATATACAATTTACGTGTGATAAAGGTTATGAGGAAATGGGAAAATTGAATTCCTTATCTCCAATTTTAAGGAATTATAAAGATTAAAGTATTTTAAAGGAATTTGTTAGTGTATAAACTGGACCAAGCCACTCACAAACATATCATAAAAGTACTTTGGATTTTTATTTGTTTGTGAGTGAATTGGTCCAGTTTATACAACAAATAAATTCCTTTAAAAAGGCGTTTAATCCTATAATAATCAATCAAACAAGTGATTCTATATATATATGTAAGAAGATGTGGTATGATTGCCTATGAGACAACTCTCCACCAGAGACCAAATGATGCAGAAGGTTAGCAACTATAGATCATCGTATGGCATTCAATAATGAGCAATTTAACCCATACCGCATAACGAGCTATAAAAGGCCCTGAAACGACAAAGGTAGAACAATTCAAACGAAAAAACTAAACGCCTGATTTATGTACAAAACTATATAAACGAAAAACAAATATGATATACAGCAACAGACTACAACCACTAAATTACTATTTCTGTAGGTCAGATGTATAATGTTATATATATTACATTAATCATTCCAGGCCACAGAGTATACAGACATACAAACTTAGCAGAGAAGGAGGAAGTGTTAAATCAATCAAATTTGATGAACTCAGGATCGTAGGAGGACTGAAGGACAGAATTAGAATCTTAGATTTCCAAGCACCTAATTCTGAATGATTTGAGTATTCTCACCAAATCACTGCTGAAAAGTTTGTGCTGTTTAAGAGAATTTGGCTTAAGTTCATATGATTAGATAATAGATTTATAGAAACAGGAATCTGATCTGAGCAGTGTATTTTTCATCCAATTTCATTCCAACAGCCTTTGGTTGTCAAATCCATTTTCTTAACTCTGATAGATATAGAGATTAGCTGTAACTGTGATATGGGCATTAGCTGTGACTGTGATATAGATTAGCTGTGACTGTGATATAGAGTCTTGCTGTAGCTGTGATATTTATTTTCCTTTGTGCCAAAACAGTAGTTACATTGTGAATTTTCATTTGAAACAAATAGATAATGTAAGGACTGAGATTTTAGATATTGAATTTAATATTATCTTGCCAAAGTCTTTCAGTACAAGATTGTAAAATTTTTAGTACTTTGAAACCAGTGTTATTAATAAAAATACTAATAACAATCATTTCATTTTATGTATAGCTACAAACAAAACCATCAATGTGTTAACCAGTTTTCTTGCAACGTCAATAGATATAAACAATTCCCCAAAGTTTTATGCAATTTGGTCAAAGCGCTTTTGAGTTAATGTCCGACATGTTGACGACGGATGGACAGACGGACAACAGTATACCATAATACGTCCCGTAAACGGGCGTATAAAAAGGGATAACAGAAATCTCCTAACAGTGTGCACATGCTTAAATGTGTCACCTGCTTTACTTATCTTTGATTTCATCTTGAAAGTCATAATATGAAGGTTTTACTACAAGTATCATATAAACTTAACATTATCAATATTCTATAAAATGAGGTCAAGGTCATATGAACCATGCCAGACAGACATGTACACCTTACAATCATTCCATACACCAAATATAGTGGTCCTATTACTAATAGTTCCTGAGAAACAGATGAAACCACAAAATCTTAACATTGACCAATGAACCATGAAATTGAGGTCAAGGTCATATGAACCCTGCCAGACAGACATAGAAACCTTACAATCATTCTATACACCAAATATAGTTGACCTATCACTTATAGTATCTGATAAACTGACAAAATTACGAAAACTTATCTTTGACCAATGAACCATGCAAATGACTTCAAGGTCATATGAACCCTGCCAGACAGACATGTACACCCTACAATTATTCATTACAACAATTATAATTGAGCTATTGCTTTTAATATCTGAGAAATAGACCAAACCACAAAAACTAAACATTGTCCAATGAACCATGAAAATGAGGTCAAGGTCAGAAGACACCTGCCAGTTAGACATGTACACCTTACAATCATTACATACACCAAATATAGTAGACCTATTGCTTATATTTCTGAGATAGGGACTTGACCACTAAAATATAACCTTGTTCACTGATACAAGAAATGAGGTCAAGGTCAAGTGAAAACTGTTTGACAGGGATTAGGACCTTGCCAGGTACACACATACCAAATATAGTTATCTTATTACTCATAAAAAGAGAGAAATTACCAGTACAAAAAATCTTAACTTTTTCTTCAAGCAGTCACTGAATCGTGAAAATGATGTCAAGGACAATAGACAGACGGAAACTTCATAACATAAGGCATCTATATACAAAGTATGAAGCATCCAGGTCTTCTACCTTCTGAAATATTAAGCTTTTACGTAATTAGTTAATGCCACCGGATCACTACCCCTTTGTCTCTCTATCTGGGACAGAAGTTGCAGGTGAGACAAAAATAATGCACAATACAACAGACCACATCAATGAACAACACCTGAGTTGTACAAAAAAGACGGACGGACAGACGGACAACGGTATACCATAATATGTCCCGTAAACGGGCGTATAAAAAACAGATATACAAACAAAGGCAAACAACAACGAACAACACATAGTCCAGAAAAGATAAACTTAGTAATGGTACAAAGTGTGGTAGAGTTATACCTGTCAAGTACTTTGTGAGGTATTTTTTGTCATATATTGTTTCAACAGAATAATTGGCTTTTGAGAAAAACATTTTTTTTTAAAACAGTTCATTCCAAACTGTTTCCAATGTAAAAGCAAGTCCCTTGTTGACTGCATCATTTCTTGGCTAAAAGTGTCATAATCTAATAAACCTTATTGTACAGAATTGTAATGCACCATTGATTGCGTATGTAGGCCTTGTGATATGCTGACATAATCTATATACCAAGATATTGACCAAGGTCATTTTATGCGTTCATCTTGATGTTGTTTAGAAGTATGTTCAGCAAGACAACAAGAAGATAAATATATATTGAAAAGTTTTATTTTATATATAATAGTATCATATAACGGACGGTCACACAAATCAATACCAGTAATTTTTAGAAAGCCAAAAAGTTTTGTCTAAAAGAAGGGTTTTGTTATCACAACTGCATGTAATAAAAGAAAGCTATACAAGTGTAAATAGACAGGTAATTTTATAAGGAATGTATAGGAAGAAACAAATTAAAATTAACTACTACATCAAAGCTGTTGGCATACTCTAGATAGTGAAATTTCATATTTAATTAATACAAATACAAACTTCACCAAAATCTGAAGAAAGTAAATGTTTTCACAAACATTTAGAAAACACTGTGTGGTTGATCTTTTTATTTTTGTATCTTTATTTTTTTTCTCTTTTTAATAAACAGGTTGGGCAAGAATTCCCAAATCACTGCTAGTTTTCAATTGTGCAGAAAAAAATTGTCTTTGAATTTCAAATGCCTAAGTTAAATTTGGCAAAAAGTTATAACAATGAATGGCTTTTAACCAGTACATGTATTTCATAATGATTAATCATGGCACATGATAAAACACACAACACAAAAAATGCATTACAAGGTTACAAATAAATAACTCAGAATACTTCCCAATTAAATATAAAAAATATAAACATTCAACCAAAAAATAGGAAATACAAATATAGTTTGAGATCAATCTAACATTTGGCTACATTATTTTATTATATTAAGCAAACATATGGGTTATAGCTAGGTTTCATTATTTTGACTAAGCTCTATCAAACATAGGATGGTGTTGAATTATGCAATGATTAACACATTTAAACATTATGCACCAGAATGGCAAGAATAAAGTTTGAAGGTATGAATACCAAAATATTCTATTTCATTTTAATTCCACTGAAAATATCTATCCAGTATTGCTAGTTTTTTAACATAAACAAATATATAGCATCCAATATATGACCACTTATATACATACTTTTAATAAAAAATTCAATTACCACACATCCTTTAAAAAACAATACATATTCTAGTATACAAGTATACCATCTATGTATGGGGGTGTTTAAAGTCATACATAGCATATGCTCAAAGCCCAACAGTACAACAGTACAAATATACACATTACCATTAACCTTTTAACAAATTTTCTCATCTCTTTAAATTTAAATATCATTGTTCTTTTCCTGAAATTCACCTATAACAGTAGTAGAAAAAAATCATGTTAATTTATAAGTTTTGTGTGGAAAGGCAGTTGTACCTGTTTTACAATTCTGAATAATGAAAAACACTACAAAAATCAAAATACATATTTTAAATATTCAAATAGTATTTTGTTGTAAATAATGCATAGAACAATTTCTTCATTGCATTCATTTTGAGGTGAGGTTTTTAATATCATATAAATACAACCACATTTTGTCTGCTATCTAAACCTTGACATAATGCAACAAACAATTTTATTCAAAATCAATGGCAGTGTTGGTTTTTTTAAATGCTAAAAGTGATTAAAATAAAAATTAATTAAAAAATTTCAAGAAATCATAAATAATTCAAAATGTACAAAAAAATAAAACAATTTAGATTAATTCTGGTGTTGAAATTCCAATAGGGGAACAAATATTGACATCATTGTAGTAATTATACCATTTTTAAAAACGAAAAAAAAAATAATTAAAACAATATCAATACAAAAGAGCAATGCATCAAAGATGATACTACATTTCTCCACTGTTTATAATTAGTTTGAAAATATTTGAAAGCTTTCCAAGGTATTTAAATTCTGAGCTATCAAGTAAGGAAACAAAGTTAAAAATATAGTGTTTTCGTGGTAGGTTATATATTTCAGCACTTTTAACAACTGGTTATTTTTGTTTGATAAAATGATAATGCTTAAACCTAATAATGGTGCTTACCGTAATATTGGGAAATGTATAAATAGCCTATAACATATGTAATCTTAACAGATTAATTCTAAGAACAAATATATCACAATTTTACCATACCTTTCAAATTCACATACTTAACAGCAATCTAGCCATAAATAGTAATATTTAATATTGACAACAACATACATTATACATAACAATGTTTTTGTCTGAGACAATAACATAGCATTACAAATTCTAATACTGGTAGCATTCTTATATAATCATACACCTCCAATCTACTTGTTAAAACTGCATACAATACATTTACTGACCAGCATTTCATCCTCGAGGGGATAAGTCCTCCATTTGTATTTGCATTAATTCATTGGCAATGTCAGTATAATAGCTACTAAATGTTGCCCTGTTGTGTGAAATTAGTCTTAAAAATTGCCCACAAATTTTACCCAGTTCATTTTCAACCACAGAAAACCCTGGTGGCACTTTCAATGGCCCAGAATGTCTTTGTGATATAATGTGTAAAATAAAGTCTCTAATTCTTTTGTCTGAAAAATAAATTTTTGTAAACATTACAAACTGGTTTACATGTGTTGCCCAGTATACTTAGATCATATTGAAATCACATTGTAAAAACTCCCATTTTCTAGGGCAAAGACGATATGTTGTTGAATATTCTATCGAATACTGTCTTGAATTTAAATATAACGAATAATATTATTGGTCAATCTCAATTTAACTGAAAATCACTTGAAATTTGACCTCTTACAAGGATTCACTAAATCTTCATTTGACATATCAATATACACGATTAAATGACAAGTTGTTCCAATCAGCTTGTAATTTTGCACAAAGAAAAGTTTATTCAAACTGCTGAGTATGAAGCCTCTGTGATTTGCATCAAAGTATAAAGAACAGTAAGACAGAATGGCACCTAAAAGTTATTTATCTTATCTTTAACACATATTATGTAAACAAACAAATAAGATTATTTCATGCATTTAAAGAGAGAGTCTGAAAAAATGTTGCACTTTTTTTTTATCCATACAGTTCTTAGTTATGTGTAAAATATAAGTAAACTATTACTGAAATTTTCTTTTCTTATTTATGTTTTAGAGACGTTTTTGCCTCTTTACTTTGACTAATACCTGCATTTTATAAAAGATAATATATATCTTATGTTACTGAATCATTTAGAACATTAGCAATACAATGAAACAACCTTCAGGAGACTGTTGATAGAAAATTATTAAAGAAACTTACACATGACTTTATAAACTGGGTGTTCTCGGGTAGATAGACTTGTTATCTGACCAGATAAAGCTGTTTGTTGCATCTCTTCACGAGGGTGGAATCCATGTTCAGACATATACTCATTTACATTCTTGTTCACTTGTTCAGCAACATTACTCATCATGCTTGGTAAATCTCTGAAATGTTTTATATAATTATCAATAAACACTAAAACTTATTCATTTAACTTAAAATACTTCTTAAGTATCTTACAAAACCTTTACCATTCTAGATCAGGACATTGTCTACCTTTATGGTTGTCAAAATACAAATCTTTAAAAAACATGTTTCGGGCCAGTAACTTTTCAAGGAAAACTTTAAAAGATCACCTGGTCCAAGAGTGGTCTAAAGTGAAAAGTTCATCTCTGATCACTTTCTATGAAGAAAAATTTTAAAAATACCAGTGTACCCTGTTATTTGTGCTGATGTCTGAAATCAGATTCAATTGTGATTGGTAAGGGAATTATGATTGTAAAAGTAATTATGGCAGCATAGAAAAATTAATACTCAAATGCTGAAGCCCAAATTTATATACATGACTTACTTTTGCTCAGTACCATCCAGTATTACCATAATTTCTGACGTGAGTTTCTCCTTTAGTTTTTGTAATCCTGCTATAGGAGCACCCACAGTACTGTATGTTACCAATAGTATGGAAGCTAGTAGTGTCAGACTGTGAATCTTATCTCCTACATCTGTAAACCTTCCTTGGTCCATCACTAATGTCTACAATTATATCATTTACCAATCAATTAATATAAGTGAGCATAAATTTACAGCAAAAAACATTTTCTTTCCTAGGGTTAATATATTGAAGTCATTGGCTGATAAAAGTATGTCATTAATATATCATCAGGAAATGCTACAATCTTTTAATAAGATTTTGGAAGCAGATGAAAGAAAAATAATTTGTTTAACAAAATCCAATGTTCCTCATTTTTCATTTTGCACACAATGTTTTTATAAGGTCAACCATGCATAAGAATCTAACAATTATTTTGGAAACATTTGTAGTTTTGTAATATATATAAATATCCAATGTTCCAGCTTACTTTAAATGTTGGCATGTTTCCCATGCCTCCCCCTTCTCTTATACCTTGCCTCTTAAATCTGGCACTTTAAATATTAATCTTTTATTTCTTTGAAGTACCCACAAAGTTAATGACGTTATTACTAGGTTTTTTACTGGAAATAAAGAATTAAATGTCTACATTAATCATTTTGAATCTTTGAGTCTGACCAAATTTCTATTGTTGAAGACTGTATTTTGACATCTAGATGCCTTTTTCTGATATTATAGTTTTGTTGGTTCTCTTTAACACATAATCAATATTCCTTGTTTTTTTCTTCTTTTATTTTTATGTGTTTACCATATGTCCAGCTATAAATCACACTGAGCCTAAGCAATTGTACAGAAGCTCACCATAAACTATCACCAACATCAAATTATTCTTCACAGGACAAAAAAAAACACTAAGATATGTACAAAGGCAATCAATGACAAGGTTAAACGTTCCTTTTCTTCAGTATGTATTACCTCAGGAAATAATTGGTTTTCATCCCAAGACAGGAGAGAAACATACGCTTCATTAACAATAGCTGCTGGGGTAAGCATGGCTGGTGATGTAGCACCCTCTTCTGCAGCTTGGTCTTTTAATGCATCAAAACTTCTCTTTAACCAAATTTTTGTAAGTTCTAGACCATCGATCCCACTCTCTGTAAAAAGTAATGGCAAATGTTTCATGTAAAACTGAAAATACTTAATAAAACAAGCATTCTGAGAGTATTGCATGGCAATACATAGTCCCCTACCGGTTAAGAATTCATTATAGTAGAACAAAATGCTAACTTGATCTATAACTTTGCATGGTGTAAACTATATATCAAATATCAAGTCAATATCTTCAAGCATGACGAAAAAAAGTGCAGAAAACTGATTATTTGACTGAATTTTCTAAGTCCAAGGACTATAACTCTGCACAAAATCACCAGACCGGAACAAAATTCGAACTTGATCTGTAACTTGTTATGATAAAACTATATACCAATTATTAAAATCAATATCTTCAAGCATGACAAAAAAAGTGCGGAAAACTGATTATTTGAGTGAATTTTCTAAATCCAAGGACCATAACTCTGCACAAAATCATCAGAACGGAACATAATTCGAACTTGATCTGAAACTAGTCATGATAAAACTATATACAAATTATTAAATCAATATCTTTAAGCATGACAAAAAAAGAGCCGAAAACTGGTTATTTGAGTGGATTTCCTAAGTCCAAGGACCATAACTCTGCACAAAATCATCAGACCAGAACATAATTCGAACTTGATCTGTAACTTGTCATGATAAAAAGTATATACCAAATTTCAAATCAATATCTTCAAGCATGAAGAAAAAAAGTGTGGAAAACTGATTTGCCGGACTGACAGATGGACAGACAGACAGATAGACAGACGGACGGAGTGCAAACCTAAAGTAGGGGACTAATAAATGGAGAATGTGTCCATAGGACACAGATGATGCCCCTGCTTGCATATAGCATTATAAAGGGAGTTAACTCCTGAAGGGTAAACGTGACGCCACTGAATTTTGTGGTAATAAGCATTGTGTATAAGTTTCATAACATTTGGTTGAGGCAAATTAAAGTTAGAGAATGGAGACCAGTTTCGGGACATACGTAGACAGACAAGGGTAAACCTTAATGCCCCCTCCGCTACATTGAAAAATGTCAATTTCAAATCAGTTGTATCAGAACCTCACTTAACTTTTGGTTGCTTTAAAATATCTCAGGTAGTTTCCAAATACATGTATTTTGGCAAGTTCAAATAGGTAATCATTGCTTTCCATCAAGTATTAAATATGTTTGTCTATGTTTGAAACTGAATATTAAATGTTAATATTATCTATAAATTTGCAAGTCCATGAATTGATTATTGTGACAACACAGGGCTCACACTTCATCATACTCATAGGGAGAAGTCACTTCTCTTTTTAAAACTGAAAGAGACAAGCAAAAAGACTTAAAAAGAAAAGTGCTCTTTCACTAGAGGTGCTATAATGTTTGTTTTTTTCAATGATACATTTTGCCGTTTGTATCCTATCTATTTAAGTCTTTTTTGTCTTGTTCAAATCCGATATTATTTCATGCCTGAGATTACCATTACAGTAACAGTTGTCTCAGTTTTTGTCTTATATTGTCATTAATAGTTATAGCATTATATTGTTTTTACTTGTCAGCAACTATTAACTAAAAATATAGACATTTTGGTTGTAATTTGAATAAGGCTAAAGTGGAACCTTTAGATTCAATAATTATTTATTAATCCATGAAATTGGTATGTCATGAATAAGAGTGAAGACGCAATAATGTCGATAATTTTATACTCAATATTGAGAGATAATCATTTGTCTACATGCTTTTCATTCTTTTGAAGTACATGTACAATGTATATAAAAAAAGTGCTTCCTCTTACCTTTCTGAGTTTTCAAAAACTCTTCAAATTTAGTTTTCTCATATTCCATTGACTGCTGTTGGAGGTATGGTCGGATTTGTTGAATAGTAAAGTTAGCCATATCCATCTTCATTAAGTCTAACATAGCAAAAATTTCTCTACAATATAAAGTCACAACTATTTCCCTCTTTCAAATAACTTTAGTGAATTTAAGTAAATGTATATGTGTGTGTTTCTAACAAAGTATGGTAGGGTGTTTCATTTATCAGTGCTTCAAATTCTGTGTTTTATATGCAAATGTGTTTTGATTTTCTAAGTCATAGGTACATTTCATTATCCAGTAACTGACGATGTCCAACAAATTTCTAATTTAAACATCAAAATATGCCATAAAAATTGCATTCATATTTAAAACAATTGAAATGCAACTTTTTTATTCATTCATTTTATAAAAGAAATCTGTTTAATAGCCCTGAATTTTAAGAGATGGTAGAATTAAACATTCAAAATTTAACTTCATTATTCTTTTGCTTCAAGACGTTAGCAAAAACATCAGCATTTAACAGTGCACAAATGATCAAGCGTCTCCATGACAGATAACAAAGGCACATCCTGTACCATAGCAATGGTGAAATATGAACAATATTCATCTTATTAAAGAAAATACATGAAGGCTCTGAGTTGAAAACTGTATGAGAGGTTAATTATACAAAACAAGTGCTCTCTTTTCTTTAACTGGACATTCAACGTCATGTAAGCCAAATTTTATACTCTTCAAGCAACCCAGCCAAAAAGTTTGTTACTTACTGAAACAAAGGTATAATATCTTTAATCTCTTTAAGTTTGGCAATATTATCATCTCTGGCTGGTGAACATAGTTTTGCCATTATACCAATTATATAGTCAGAGTAATAGTAAATATCAAATGCATTATTCTCTAATTTCTGTTGTATAAGTTCAATATCTAGGACTTCACCAATCTGAGTTTTCAATCTCACATGTTGTGGTAATAGAAGTGCTAGTAAATTCTGTAAAATAAATATATAAGTTATTGGAACAAATATTCTCTGAATAGCAATGGTTATTTTGTATTAAACCTGTAGTATCAATACATAACAGACTACTGTAAATTCTGATATTTATGTGTCCACTTATCATTGCAATCGTTGAACAATGAGCAAAAATGCAAGATAAGCTATTTCATTTCAGGAAAAGCAGTGTACAAACAATGCTATCAAAATTTAAAATGCACCTTTGTTTTAAACCTATCCTGTTGCAATTATAAAATATCAGAAACTTTTTCCAATTTTACGGTATTTTTTAATGTGATATTTCCTCAGCAGTAAACATATAGATGTGGTTTTAGTATTGCAACATTATAAAAGTTTATTCAGATTGCAAAATGCAACATTTGCCCTGGAATATGATCAGTGTTGAGTAATTTGATTAATATACCAGTATATACATATATTTAATCTATATGAGTATTTTATGAAAATTCAGCAGTTTGTTATCAAGAACTTTAACAGCTTCTGAACACACTTTAATACAAGTACAGTCAAACCTGTATTAAGCAGTCACTCTTGGGAAGTATCAAAAGAGACCGCTCAAGAGAGGTGACCTTTGAAATGAAGTTCTGAAAAAAGAATTGAATCCGAGATCGCTGATGGTTTGGGATCTTGGCAAATTGTTTTAGTCTTTTCAATCGCTGGAGTTATGAATCTTGCGTCAGTGAAATAAAAACATGGAGGATTCTAGCGCTGTAAACATGAAGAAAACATTCAAAATAAATTAATATTCATGGAAAAATAAATTGGTGATCCTGTTTTCAATGGAAAGGAAAGTAGTGGAAAACCAGGGATTCATGAATTCACCTACTTAAACAGAATCTCGGTTGCAAATGGGTTCTGATTTTCATTTTAACTTTGATACTGAACACCTATATTTTTCAGCATGATTATTTCTGTAGTTAAAAATGTTGAAATGAGCATTGTTAAAAGTTGAAATGATGATTTCGTGCAACAAATAGGTGTCTGCTGATTTGAGTTAAATTATATAGAGAAAATGTTTGCGAGGGTCTGAAAGTGACCATTAGAGGCAGGTGATCGCTAAAACGAGGTGACTGTTAAGGCAGGATTAACTGTACTATTACTGACAAAGGTCTTTCGACTGAATTTTTGTGCAAATTAATTGACTGTTTGCTTGATGTCCAGTGGCAAATGTGTACACATATTTAGGACAAGTATTAATCTAACAATAAATTACCAAAAACATAAACAATGTTACAATATATTAGAAATGTTCCTCGTGTATATTTCCATGTAAACTGTTAAACATGCAGATCATATTGGGAAAAGCTATTACTATCAGGTATCTTTTTTCCCTTTAGAGAAACTTGTGGAAATTTGTTATTTTTGATCTAGTGGAATGAACCACAAACTTGCCTACACATTAATCTACAAGAATTGATGTTTAGAAATACAAGAGTGCACACACTGAAATGTCTCCCCTGCTTTACTGACCATTGATTTTATGTTGATAGTCCTAAGTATAAAGTTTTACTACAAGTATCACATAAACTTAACATGATCCAAGAAAATGAGGTCAAGGTCAGATAAACCAAGCCAGAAATATATGTTCACCTCACAATCATTCTATAGATCAAATATAGTTGACCTATTGCATATAGAATCTAAGAAACAAACTTAAACAGGAAAACTTAACACTGACCAATGAACCACGAAAATGAGGTCAAGGTCATATGGTACCTGCCAGACAGACATTATTGTGGTTTATGGTTTAAGAAAAACAGACCAAAACACAAAAACTTAACATTGAGCAATGAACCATGAAAATGAGGTCAAGGTCAAATTAAACCTGCCAGACTTGTACCGTAAAATATTTCCATACACCAAATATAGTTGACCTATTGCATACAGTATTAGAAAAACAGACTGAAACATAAAAACTAAACTTTAACCACTATACCATGAAAATGAGGTCAATGTCAGATGACACCTGCCAGTTGGACATGTACACCTTACAATCATTCCATATACCAAATATAGTAGACCTATTGCTTATAGTATTTGAGATATGGACTTGACCACGAAAACTTAACCTTGTTCACTGATCCATGAAATGAGGTTGAGGTCAAGTGAAAACTGTCTGACAGACATGAGGACCTTGCAAGGTACATCCATACCAAATATATTTATCTTATTAATCATAATAAGAGAGAAATTAACAATACAAAAAATCTGAACTTATTTTTCAAGAAGTCACTGAACCATGAAAATGAGGTCAAAGACAATGGACATATGACAGACATAAACTTCATAATATAAGGCATCTATATACAAAGTATGAAGCATCCAGGTCTTCTACCTTCTGAAATATCAAGCTTCTAAGTAGTTAGTTAACGCCGCCGCCACTGCCCAATCCGCCGCTGCCAGATATCACTATCCCTAAGTTGAGCTTTCTGCAACAGAAGTCGCAGGCTCAACAACAAACTATGGAAATAATGAAACTAAAATTGGTTAACAAAAAAACGAAATGAATCAAGTACTGTATTTAAAATATTGCATATGTTGTTTTAGTTAAATACAAATAAGTTACAATTCTTACCTCTTTGACTTCTTGTATCAACACAACAGCATGTCCTAATTCTGGAGGATCTTCATTTAGCTTTTCCTGGAATGCGTCCCAAAATGCTTTGTGTACAACTTCCTTCACTTTCTTTTCAAAACTAATTAAAGAAAATTATCAAAACATTACACATCTCAACTGTTGAAAGCTTTTGTAAAAGACAAATGTCATTTGGGCTGAAGAGAGTAGTTGTCTTATTGGCAATCATACAACATCTACTCATTTTTTAGTGAATATCATTATAACAGTACATCTGAAAAATTAAGACTATTTTTCATTTAAAAAGTAGTCAAATAAATTTACTTAATTATTACATAGTTTTTCATAAAATTGAGAATAGAAATGGGGAATATGTCAAAGAGACAACAACCCGGCCAAAGAGCAGATAACAGCCGAAGGCCACCAATGGATCTTCAACGCAGGCAGAAAATCCCGCACCCAGAGGTGGTCCTCAGCTGGCCCCTAAATAAAAAGGTGTACTAGTTCAGTGAAAATGGACGTCATACTAAACTCCAAAACATATAAATTTTTCATTTATACTTCATTTCCTTTATATGCAAATGTAATATAACTCCTCCCTAAGCAGTGTAAACAAACAGACCAATGTTGAAGATAAATGCCATATTTTTATGGCTGATTGTTTAATATTTCCATTTGGCTTCAACTAATAGGAAATGTCAACTTGGATTTTGTAAAGACTTTTTGATAGAAACATTATGCGACCAACAACAGTCATTAAATTAAATTATTACTATACCAATACCTATTTTCTGAAGGTTCTAATTTCTCCAACTTAAAGTTAGCATCAACAGCTATTTCATGAGCCAATGACATGTTCTTCACTCCCGCTGCTGCAGCCATTATCTCATCTAAACTCATGAACTTTGGTGGGGAAGCTGTAATTAAAAAAAAAAGATGGTAATGTTCTATTTATGGTATACTACATATTTAAACACAGAGAGACAAATATTTTAGTTTATCTAGATTCTTAAAACAGCTTCAAACTTACCACAAAGTCAGTTCTTCAGACCAAAAAAATGTCAAAGGAGTCTAAAAACATTTTTTATGAGGGTCTAGATGGGGTCTTCATTTCTGTAATAATAGTGTATTCTTTAATTGTTTAGGCCGTATTTCTCTATTCTTGTTTTTTACTAACCATTCTCTATTCTTTAAATCACTAAATAGATCTCTATTTTTTATATATTTTTTGCCCATTTTTCCCCATTCTTTATTTTCTTGACCCATTTTTCTCTCTTCTGTAAACCCCATCCAGACCCTCATTCATGCAAACTTGCATAAACTTAAAGCTGTACAAATTCTTTTAACTTCCATGTAAGTTAACACTGTACAAATCATTACCTGTTACCATGAACAAAATAATTGCATGGGATCTAAATCTTGAGAATATATCTTCATGATTCAGAATTATTATAGCTTACTATGCTGTATGAATTTTGCTCATTGTTGACTGCCGTACATTGACCTATACTTGTTCACTTCTACGGCATCATGTCGTCATGTGTTCATTGGTGGAGAGTTGTCTCAATGGCAATCATACCACATTTTCTGATTTTTATATTATTGATTATATTTGTGTACACAATTACATTATCACTGTACAACAAAACTGTTGAAGAGGACATAGCTGCAGGACTGTGGATCCGGAGTGTCTCTGTCTGTCTACTAGCTGGTAGGTGACAAGTTGACAACTCTTTGAGAAAAAGATGAAGACTTTAACCAGCATTAATTAATTACCACCATAAAAAGAGGCTAAATGCTTTAGCAACTTTAGAGTCATAGATAGACATTTTAAATTACTAATGTACAACAATGTACTTACTATTATTGCTATTGAATGAAGATTCAGCTATTCCAAAATAATCTCTTATACAGATTTCACTTCTCTATTCCAATTATTTTTTTTATTTATAGGGATGAGCTATAAAATATTGTAACACCTAAAAACTAAATTGGTGTGGCCTTTCCAGTCAATCATATGATATGAATTAGAGATTCCATAAGATTTTCTTATTTTTTTCTTTTACCTGGAACATTCACAAAAGATGGTGGATATCTGTGAGGACTTGGGGTCTGTGTTCGCCTTTTCTTCTCAGCTTCTGGTTCACTGCTTGTACTTGCTGTTGACTTGTTGAGTTCATCTTGCTCAGGTGTAAATTCACCGTCTATAGAATTGTTTAACTTATCTTCATCTTGACCATCCATTACAAAGTTTCACTGAATAAATAAAATTGTTTTAATTTAAATAAACATCATGAAAACTGACTTGAGAATAAATAAATCACACATGAATACATTTTTCAGATGCCATGTATTTTTATATATAATTATGTAGATCAACATGTTGGAAGCATGTTAGCCTGTACCAGTGTATACTTGTACCACTTAGAGTCAACTTGTCAACACATATCATTGCAAATTAATATTGATGGAAACTCATACCATAAATAAAGGAAGAAAGTGTCTGAAGACAAGAATGCCACCGCTCCAGCTTGCTTATAATAAGTGAAAATACTTTTTGAGAGCATTTGATGTCACTGCTAATTTTTATAGAGTTCTATTGTTCTAGTCTTAGGTATTTTTGTGCTGTGTGTTATTTTCATATTTTCACTGTTGTGTTTGACAGTGAATTTCTCAGTTCTTGAATAATGCTTTGGTTCTTTTACTTCTAATCTCTTTGTTAGATCTACTTGTTTAAATCTGAGCATTGTGCTGACCATGGTATATGAGTTTCATAAACTTTAAATGATGCAAACTTAAGTTAGAGTGTGGAAATGAAAAAAAAGTGCAATTTTCCAAGATATAAAGGGGCATATTTCTAGAACAGTGACTCACTGCCCAAATTTGAACTCTGTCTGCGAGTTTTGGTTCTTAGCATTGTGTATGAGTTTCATAAAATTTGCAGGAGTCAAACTTTAGTTAAACTGCGGAAACAAACAAATTTGCAATTTTCAAAGATATGAAGGGGCAGAACTCTAGAACGGTGAATGACTCACTGCCAAAATTCCAACTCTACAAGTTTTGGTTTTTAGCATGTTAAGCATTGTGTATGAGTTTTACAAAAAATTGCAAAAGGAAAACTTGTAAGAGTGCAGAAACAAAAAAATCTGTAATTTTCCAAGTAATTAAGGGGCACAACTCTAGATCGATAAGTGACTCACTGCTCAAATTCAAACTTGGTCTGTGAGTTTTGGTTCTTAGCATTGTGTATGAGTTTCATAAAATTCAAATGAGGCAAACTTAAACATACAGTTGAATTCTTACAATTATATTGGGAGGCTTGCTGAGCTATTGTTAAAATTTCATTGTTGAAAGTGGAGAAATACTGTATTGCACAAGATTTTTTTTTATTGCTTTTAGAGCAGTTTTTAAATGTTTCAAGGATTTATTTAAGAATTGCAATCTTCTATGTAAATATTGCACAATTAACTTTTATTTTATTTGGAATTACATGTATTGTATTCTTTTCTATATAAAGGTTCATGTGGTATATATAGTGACTGCCATGGACAGTAAAACCTCATCTGACCCACTAAACAAGCCCCTGTGAAGTACAGATAATAAGCTTTTGAATGATATATAATATAGCTGTGTGTAAGGTTGGTGCATTAAAGTCCTTACCTAAGGGGACAACTATTTGATTCTGAGGTGGGGGCCTGACATCATTGGTAAATAAATATTCTGGCCACCATTAAGTTGATATAAATGATATTACTTTATCACACATGAAAATAAATATACTTGGCCAAAAATATCGAAGATGTTCAAAATATTTTTGGCTCACTTTGCTTGCCAAATTTACCAAAGTATACAATAGTTTAAAGTATATTGGCAGTGGCAAATGCAAGGGGCATAGAGAGTGTACCATACTGACCAGAAAAAATATATATTTTTTGCTTAAAACCGTTTATATAAAAACATTTTACCTTTCTACGCTTAAGTTTTTGTGTCCCTTTTTTGACAAGCAGAAAATAAATTGTGGCCCTGGTCTGAGTGAAAATGAATAATCTGGTAGACTTTAACTTGGAAATAAATAATCTGACATCATTAAATTTGCCAGCCCCCCCCTTTTCAGAATATGAATATAATATATGTCGGTCGTAATGGGGTGCCTTCATGACGAAAAACGGTAAAAATTCTTGCCAAATGACGTTAACGGTAACTTTTGGTACATGATGATAAAATATACACTTTCTTTTGGACGATAAAAAAATCAACTGATTTTGACGAATCTTGTTAAATTTTGTCTAAAAATAACGGTAACAATAATTATTTGAGACCTCTGACGAATCACGATAAGGATATTTTGACGAATCACCGTAAAATTTTAACCAATTTGAAGCTAACGGTAGCCTGTCGGTAAAGGGCATTCATACCCTCATTTCTTGGTTAAATTCACTTCTGAAAAAAAATCTTTTTAATATGAATGATAAAATTATAAATACTTACCCTATAATAATAGAAAAATGCGCTTTTAACAACAACAGAAAACTTCTAAGAGCTTCTTTTGACTCTTTACAAAATATTATGACAAATATTTCTGTTTACTTAGTTAGTCCTAGCTATATCTTTTGTTTTTTTATATTTTTTTTACCGTGTGTCGCTTCAAACTCAATGCTTTCTCATGAAAAAAATGTGTGAACGAATTACTACTATAAATTCATTGGCTAAAGTACTATGGTTTACCAGAAGGGTCAAGAAAATGCTGGAACAATGGATCCTGTTGAAAAACACGAAAAGTTTGTTTACGGAAATGACATCATTAAATTACTTAAGCACGGTAGGGGACTCAGACATTCGAAAAATAAATATATATGCTAGTAGCCCTTTGTTAATTTATGTATCTTTGTCATTTGTAGTTTCTTCTGATACTTATTCTGACATCGGACTCGGACTTATTTTAAACTGAGTTTTACAGTGCGTATTGATGTGTGTTTGTTTATTCTACATTGGCTAGAGGTATAGGGGGAGCTAGGGCTGAGATCTCACAAAACATGTTTAAATGTTAGTTCATTTTTTTTTGTTTCGGAGTTTAATGTGACGTCCATTTTCACATAACTAGTACACATTTTTGCTTAGGGGCCAGTTGAAGCCCGCCTCTGGGTGCGGGATTTTCTCGCTGTGTTGAAGACCCATTGGTTGCCTTGGGCTGTTTTCTGCTCTTTGGTCGGATTGTTGTCTCTTTGACATATTCCCCATTTCCATTCTCAATTTTATAACATATCAAATAAAGTCAGTAATAAGTAAAATAAGTAAGACTTTATATGTGTGATACTGGTCCAGCAGGGGCGGATTCAAGAGGGGGCGTGGCGTGCGTGCGCCCCCCCCCCTAAAATTTGCAAAGCATGGGTTGTCCTCAGGTTAATAAAGAATATTTCGATAATTTTACCTAAAAAAAAATAAGTTTGCGCCCCCCCCCCCCCCCCCCTTTCCCTAACCTAAAATCCTGGATCCGCCCCTGCTGGTGAAGGAATTTTATGATTCTATTGGTGAATAATTTAATTTTGAATGTAACGTGTCTTCTGATTGGCTGACGTTGTTTTGTTTATCAGCCCATAGACATAATTTAGTCATGTGACCGTGACGTTATCAACGTTTTTTCATGGTTTACTCCGGTTTAAAATAGAATTTAGAATTAAATTATATGAAATAACTTTAATATTTTGTCTGTCTATTCCAAATAACATAAAAAATGTGGTGCACACTTTAAATAATCCGCTACGCGGGTTATTCAGTGTGCACCACATTTTTTATGTTATTTCTTCATAGACAGAAAAAATATTACAGTCATTCCTTAATTAGATATTCATAACGTCGTATTATAAAAGGTATACTACACGGTTGTTGGATCAATCCAACTGTTGTAGGGTTTATATTATCATATGTTCTCAATTCACTCAGTCATCTACTCAATTGATTTTATATAATAAAAGTCGTTGAATTCAATTGTTCTAATCAGAGACATATAATACATGTATTATATGTCTCTGTTCTAATCAATTAAGAGTTCATCTATTCAATCTTGAACAATCAAATCTCTTCTTATATAATATACAATCGAAATCCAATGATAACATACTGTTGCATACGTATATTTATCAAATTGTACCCCATGCAAATTAAACAAAACAAAATCATAGAATTGGATGAAAATTGTGAATTTGTGATTAAAATCTATATACAATTAAAGAGCTCACCAGAGCTAATGTTTTGTCTGTTATTATGTATATATATGCCGACTCTAAATAAAATTTATTTACTTACTTACTTACTTACTTACTCACTTACTCACTTACTTACTTACTTACTTACTTACTTACTTACTTACTTACTTACTATATATAACTCTAGAACGGTTAGTGATTCACTGCCCAATTTTACACTCTTTCTGCAAGTTTTGGTTGGTTTTTAGCATTGTGTATGAGTTTTTTTAAATTTGCATGAGGAAAACTTAAGTTAGAGTGCGGAAAAAATGCAATTTTCCAAGTTATAAAGGGGCATAACTCTATATGGATCTGCGACTCACTGCCCAAATTCAAACTCAGTCTTTGATTGATAGCTTTATTAATAGATTAATTGATTGATTGATTGATTGATTTTTTTTATTGGTTTATTATTATTTGTCGACAAATTGATTAACAGAAAAACTGATTAAGGGATTTGTGTAAATAAATAATTAGTTTGTTAACTTTTTCAAATGTGTAGTGTCGGTTAATCAAATGATTTGTTTGATCCAAAGAAATTGTATTTTCAGTACTTTTCGATATTGATAAAGAAAAACAAACAGTTAATGATTATTTTGAATTTGTATCATCTACACAGCCTGAGTTATTTTGATTATGGAAATTCGAGTACAAAAGCAGCCCCAATGCGAACGTCGCTGAAAGCACCCATTCAGCAAGGATTTGTATAGTGCATTCAGGGACAAAAGTTAACATCATCAGCAGAGTGTATGATAAAAAAAATTGCGATATGTTAATCTTAATGTAAAATTTATGAAAATTAAAAATTGAATTTATCGTAAAAATGATTTATGCAGGATAATCGTAGTTTATTATTAATATTTTTCGATTGACGAATTGTATACTGTGCCAATGTTGATGGCGGAAGTGAATTTCACCTGTATTATGGGAAATTTTTAGGCACGAAATTCAAATAGCATGGCTACAAATGATGACAGCCTGCTGGATAGTCCTAGATTTTCTGGTTTTCAAAGATCAATTCCATGGAGAGCGTCAAAAGCACATATTGGTAAAATTGTGAACACAATGTTTAAAAACGTCAGGAATTTATAGCCCTCCCGATAACTTTCTATGGTCCACGGCAAGGTGACGCATCTTTCGCAGTTTCGGTGATAATTTATGTGTTTATTTTGTCCTCGACGGTCACCTGATATCCTCCCTATGTAGTTACTTTAATTGTTCATATAGCATTTCAAAAACGTTATATTTTTTGTGGCATATTTGTATGAGAATACCAAAAAAGAAAAAGAAAATCTTGAAATGTAGAGAGCAGCCCCCCTTTTTTAACTATGAGCCAAGATTCTGTAGTGCAGAACATGAGTAAACACTTTTTTCTGTAGCTTCAAAACTCTTCAGATAAAATAAATCCTTAACAGGTGGAGAATGGCATCTTGTCTGTTTGCCCCAATAGCAATCCAGGCCGGGTTTGTTGGTCGGAGCATTCACTGTAAAATTCATGTTCACCGATTTGACTCAAATTCTTATATTTGATTAACCCACTGAATCATATATCTAAATTACTAAAACTCCAAAACAATGCATGGACTCGCTATTATGGAGCTGCTATTTGTGTGTATTGTAGATGCATGACCTCCGTAAATGACGATTGTCATACAACTTGATATAAATATAAATACCAAAACAGGCATGTGTAATGGTAAAACAACACTCATTTTTCTAGGTCTGTTTTATTTCTTGTCATTGATTTCAATAAGATAATAAATAGATCTTCCCTGTGGCTCCCTAGTTTCACTTTCCAATGTTGACATTCTTTTCTTTTTAATAACTGAATATGATTTACACATGCATAACCCATCTCCTGCTAAGGGTTAAATTGAAGGTCTGATGAATATGTACTCAAATGAGTTGAATAATTGACTTGAAGTCCAATAAAACATTCCTGATGTGTTTGAGCTTATTTTGATGAAATTGAATCAAACAGACTGCTAATAGCAAAATATTAATACACAATTCCACTTTTATAAATGTTTGAAACAAAAATTGAAGTTCACTATAGTATTTTTAGATTAATATATAGTAGACATATACATTGTATATTACCAGATTTAGGTGACGTCAACTTCAATGTGCATGGTGTGTTGAAGGTGGTCACTGTAAAGTAGGAGTAGTAGTAGGTTTTTATGTACTGTGGATTCATTTATTCCGTGGATTCAGGAATCAGAACAACTGATATTTTCTTTTCTTGATTATTTGATTTCATGGATTTGCCCAAGTCTGTATAAAAGCGTTTAGAAATTATAATTTGTGGTTTACCTTTAGGCCAAATAAAAATATACGTATGGTTCCAGTTTCCCAACCGATCCTATCTTAAACCCCTGACCCTTGAACTTTTTTTGGTATTTCTGAAAAATAAATTTGAATGATTCTATTTTGTTGAATGTGAACTTCAAAAATCAAATTCACAGACTTCTTAAGCATAAACTTCCAACAGAAGTATCCACTACCGCTAAAAATGCAACCAATTTTTAACAGAATGCAACAAAATTACCTAAAAACATTACATGTCTGTTTATTTTACAACCAAACATATAGAAAATGGCAAACTATCGGTGTGTGGGTGTAAAATATTGATACTGGGCTCTGTGAAAACACAAACTGTTTTCCAGATTTTGACAAAAAAACAAATGCTGACCTACTGACCCTATTTTTTCTGGGACGTAACTGGAACCACACATATTTTTATTTGGACTTACACATGAAATCCTCAAAAAATTGGTATCCAAAGAACAATAAAGAATCCACAGTATAAGATATACAAATGAGGGTGTTAGGAATTGACTAGACGTTGAACTATCTTTAGGATATATTCATAAACTATATTTGTATTTATATATCAGAAGCTAGAAGACCTGGATGCTTCATACCTTGTATGCAGATGCCTTATGTTACAAAACTTTTGTCTGTCATATATGTCATTTTCGTGGTTCAGCAACTGCTTGAAAAAACTGTGTAGTTTTTTTGTTATGTGAAATACTCAACTACATGGGTTTATGCCAGGTTAATAGCTACGTGTCTGTCAGACAGGGTTCACCTTCCTCAACCTCATTTCATGTATCAGTGATCACGATTAAGTTCTTATCTCGATACTATAAGCAATAGGTCAAGTGTATTTGATGTATAGAATGATTGTAAGGTGTATATGTCCACCTGGCATGTTTCATCTGGTAAACGGACAGAAAGTCACCGGACAAAAAGTCACAAATTTGATAGGACAAAAAGTCACAAATACTTTGTTTATAATTGTTTAGATATATAAGAGAAGTCACAAATTTGATAGGACAAAAAGTCACAAATACTTTGTTTATAATTGTTTAGATATATAAGAGAAGTTTTTGAAATAATTTCTTTTTATCACATATATTTATTTTACAGTTAAGAAAATTGTTTATAAAACTTGATAAATGAAGATTTATCAAATTTTACTCATGCAAAGGATATATTTCTTGGTACCATGAGGCCATTTAAGTACATAGCCACTTTGACACATTGTTTTTTTTAACAATTATTTGATTATAATGGATTTTTTTAAATACATTTTGTTTACAAAATTGCTGTATATGTAATAGTTCAAGAAAAATACAAAAATATTTTTAAAAGATAAATGTTTTCTTATTTAACATGTTTAAAGAAAAATAATATCAAAAGTGAATTGTGACTTTTTGTCCTGTGACTTTTTGTCCTTGACTTTTTGTCTGTGACTTTCTGTCCTACATTCGTTTCATCTGACCTTGCCTTATTTTCGTGGTTTATTGGGTGATCTTAAGTTTTTGTGGTTTGGTCTGTTTCTTAGATACTATAACCAATAAATAGATCAAATGACATCTTTAGTTGGTGTATAGATCTACAAAAATGCTATTAAGGTGTAATACCACCATTGATTTTCCCCTATTAGTCTTTGTTAAATTTGCACTTTTCAAAAAATTGTGCAGAATTTATCTTTGTTTCAAATAAAGAAATACTTGGCATGAGTAAAGTTTTATCCTGTCCAGTACTATAGAAAAAATTTCACATAACATTTCATTGCATATAAGAAAATAACCATCACTGGAAGTTAACCAATCAAATTTTCCCCCTTATTAACCTGTGTACAAGCTTTAGTAACCATGTAACCTCAAGTTTCCAAAATATTCTATAGAAACCCCCAGTAAAAAAATAATGGTGCTTTGAAATACCCAAGATATATGTTTATGACCCAGAAATGTTTTACTGCAATGAAATGTAGGATCAATTACCTACAACTGTCAAATGCAAGGGAATATTTTTTTCCGACCTATTTTCGTATGCAACCGGATGTGACGTACTATGATTTGGTGGTATTACACCTAAAGAAGACTTTTTTGTTAAATAAACTCAATGTGACTTTTTTCCTTTGTAATACTGGTTATTTCAAGCATTCCTGTCAAGTTTTGTCATAATCAGTTCAATAGTTTGAGAAAAATTTAGTATAATGTAAGACGACATCTACAGCGATACCAGCAAAATTTCTTCGAAAAATCCAAACCAAGCCGCATCATGATAGAATTTAGTGTGGACCAATAAATGATCAAATATTTATCTCATCTGCCTACAAACAGTTGAATATGATACAAAAGAAGACTTTAGGGTGATAAATACTACTAATGGACCTCTTTGTCTGCCTTATAAGGTCTCTTTTGGTCCATTTATACCTCTCATTTCCTCAAAATTTCTACTTTTTAGGCCAATAAATAAAAATTTTGGGGTAACTTTCAATCATTTATGATAGAAATGTTGTAATAAATGATTAATTGAAGTATTCAAGCTGAATGAACTATCCGTATAAAAGTTTACTGTCTCCAAGAAGGTTTCAATAAGTCCTTACGTAAAACTTAAATGTACGACGCGTTCCAGAGTGGGACATAAAAAGCTTCTCTTTTGGTGAATAATTTGTTGTTACTGCTTTAAAAATAATTTCATTTACTTAAAACTATATATTTATTAAAGTATTTCTTAGGAAAAATTTTCTAGTATAGCAGAATATAAGAAATAAGGAGAAAAGGCTCCCCAAAACTCTAAGTATGGCTTGTTCTGTCAACTAATATTCATGGTAAAGTCCTATTTCAAGGAAATTTTCTCATAAAATGTGTTTTGGAGACTCAATCCACTCAGAATATTTCATTATCTGTAATATTTCACTTAAATAGCAAGAAATTTTAACACATGAGAGTACTCACAAGGTCAAAGGTGCATGTACAGCTTCCCATATTAGGTGTAATACCACCATTGATTTTCCCCTATTAGTCTTTGTTAAATTTGCACTTTTCAAAAAATTGTGCAGAATTTATCTTTGTTTTAAATAAAGAAATACTTGGCATAAAGTTTTATCCTGTCCAGTACTATAGAAAAAATTTCACATAACATTTCATTGCATATAAGAAAATAACCATCACTGGAAGTTAACCAATCAAATTTTCCCCCTTTATTAACCTGTGTACAAGCTTTAGTAACCATGTAACCTCAAGTTTCCAAAATATTCTATAGAAACCCCCAGTAAAAAAATAATGGTGCTTTGAAATACCCAAGATATATGTTTATGACCCAGAAATGTTTTACTGCAATGAAATGTAGGATCAATTACCTACAACTGTCAAATGCAAGGGAATATTTTTTTCCGACCTATTTTCGTATGCAACCGGATGTGACGTACTATGATTTGGTGGTATTACACCTTAATAAGTTGAAATCATCAACTGACTCATAATAGGAGTTATTGTCCTTAAATGACAATTGTTCTCAAAATTGTTTTTGCCTATTATCTTGAGAGGGATTATTATTAGACAGAAGCTGTATACAACAAACACTATCAGCAATACAAGATTTACAAAAATGCTACTTTGACAGAAACCATTAATTAATTGACTCCTTATACAAGTAATTGTCCATTAATGATGCTTTATAACAAATTGTTGTGTTCACTGTTTACATTGAAAACATCAATAAATAGAAAAAAAGAAAATGATCAGCCATACA